TCAGACCGGGCCTCTTCGCGGCACTCTGTGTCGCCGCCCGCACCCGACCGCCCGCTGTTTCCGCCGCCTCGACGATCTCTTTCGTCGTCGCTTTGGCCCGGCCCCGGACCTCCCTGACTGGCACAGCCTGCTCCGCCAGGGCGTGCCGATCTTTGAGTTAGACATGGATCAGATAGGTGCTGCTTTGCATGCCTTATATTCTGACGCTTCTAGTGTTGCTGGATCTTATTACCCTATGTACTCTAGTTTAGGTGTTGCCCCATTGTGTAGCTTAGCCTCCCCTGCTGCGTCAGGCGTAGGACTGCCTCGTTTGCCTAGCCTAGTCTCTGCACCGGCTTCGTTCCAGGCCTCCGCCGATGCTTCGCTATCCTTCACTCTCGACTCCGGTGCCTCTGCCTGCTTCTTCCGCGACCGTTCCGCGCTCACGCCGCTTGCTACGCCTGCTGTTGTCTCTCTCGATGACCCCTCTGCGGGTCCTGTCGTCGCTCGCAGTTCTACATCCCTTCCCTGTCCAGCAGTTCCCTTACAGGTCTCCACGTTCCCTTACAGGTCTCCACGCTCCCTTACAGGTCTCCACGTTCCCTTGTTCTCGAGCAACCTAGTTGGTGTCGGCTGTCTCCAGGACCTCGGCGTCAGCACCACGTTCCCCGGGCACGAGCGGTTCGCTGTCTCTTCTGAGTCTGTCTGAGGTTCCCCTCTTGCGACGTTCCCCTGGGACCCGGTGTCCGGTCTGTTCACCCTAGACACCGCTTCCCCCCCGGTTGGTGCGTCCTCCCAGGTCGCTGCAGCTTGCTCGTGTCGGTCCCTCACTCACTCGTCCCTTCTCTGGCACCACCGCCTAGGTCACCCTGCACTCCCACGTCTGCGTCACATGTCCCAGCACGGTCTTGTCTTAGGTCTCCCTGCGTCGCTCCCTGCCCTTCCTCCCTCGACTTCGCCACCGTGTATGCCTTGTGTCGAGGGCTGGCTCCGCCGCTCTCCTCACTCCTCCTCGCTGCGCCCTGCTACTACCCCCCTTCAGACCCTGCACCTGGACGTTTGGGGCCCTGCCCTAGTCACCGAACCGCGAGGTGAGCACTACTTCCTTGTGCTCGTCGACGACTACACGCGCTACACCACGGTGTTTCCCCTGGAGCGGAAGGCCGACGTGCCCGACGTTCTTCTCCCGTCGGTCGTAGTTGCGCGTCTTCACCGCGGTCTCCCCGTGTTGTGTCTCCACTCTGACCGTGGCGGCGAGTTCGCCTTTGGTCGGCTTGGACAGTTCTGTCGTGCGGAGGGCATCACCCAGTCGTACACCTTGCCGGACTCGCCATAGCAGAATGGGGTTGCTGAGCGCCGCATCGGCTTGGTCATGGAGGTCGCCCATACCTCCATGATCCATGCCGATGCCCCCCATTTTTTGTGGCCGTTCGCTGTTCGCTACGCTGCTCACCAGCTTAACTTGTGGCCACGCTCCCAGCAGCCACAGGTTTCGCCGACCCTCCTTTGGACCGGGTCCCCTGGTGACGCGTCTGCGTTCCACGTCTGGGGCTGCCTTGCTCACGTTCGTGCCTCTGGCACCGACAAGCTCACTGCCCGCACTGTCCCCTGTGTCTTCCTCGGTTTCCCCCTAGACTCGTCTGACTGGCTTTTCTATCACCCGCCGTCTCACCGCTTCCTCCACTCTCGTGACGTTACCTTTGACGAGTCGGTCTCCTTCTACCGCCACTTCCCTCACCGAGGTCTCCCGGTTGCCCCCCCCCTGTTCCTTGCTCCCTCTCCTTCGGTAGCCCCTGCCCCTCTCCCGCCTCGTCCTGCCCCGTCTGGTGTCTCTCACGTCACTCCCCTCCCGTCGGTTGTCCCCGTTGAGGAGTTTGCTGACTCTGGTGGTACCCCCGGTCTGTCCTTGCCGCGTCCCCCTTCCCCGGTGCCTCCGCCCCCACTGTCGCAGTCGCCAACCCCGCTGCAGCCGCCGCCCCCCTTGCCGCCGCAGCCGTCGCCGCTGTTGCCGCCGCCGCAGCCGTCGCCGCCGCAGTCGTCGCCGCCACTGCCGCTGCCGCTCTTGGCCCCTGGGGGTGCTGGTGTGGAGGAGGGTGTTCGTCATGCGGCGTCTGGGGGTGCTGCTGGTGTTGGAGGAGGTTCTCGCTCTGGGGGTGTTGGTTCTGGGGGTGTTGCTGTTGAGTGTTCTGCCGACAGTTGTTCTGCCTCTCCTGGTCCGAGAGTTCTGGCCCAGCCGTCGTCGCCGCCGCAGCAGCCGTCGCCGCCGGTCTCCGCTCTCCGCCTGCTCGGCCTTCCCTCCCCGGACCGTGCGACGGTGTCTCCCCCACCGCCTGCTGACCTTCCTGTCTACGGTCATGTGTTCCCGCCGCCAGACTCGTCTCCGGCCCGTCTTCCTCCTCGTTTCCCTCCTGTGTCTCCTCCGCTGTCCCCTGACCCTACACCTCCGTCTCACGTTTGGGCTCGCCGTCCCTCCCATGCTCGTCCCGTCTCTCCTGTCCTGTCCACCCACCCTATGTTGCTCTGTTCCCACTCGTCTCATCCTCCCCTCCTCCCGTCCCCTCCTCCCTCGTCCCTTGCTGTTGCACCTCCTTCGTTCTCTGACTACCTCCGTGCTGCTCGTCCCCTTGTCCCTCGGGTTCTTGCCTCTCTTGTTACCGACCCTTCTGTTCCTGTCTCGTGCCTTGACGCGCTTGTCGCTGCTGTCGCTGACTTTGCCTCTACCCGCCGCCTTGACTACGCTATCGCTCTGGTCTCTGACCCTGCCCGTCCTCCGTCCGTCGGGGGTGCTCCTGCCCTTGGCAGTGACGTCCTAGAGGACAGGCAGTACGAGCTTGCTTTCCTTTCCGAGGCTGCTCCCCATCTCTGCTCCATGCTGTTAGTCCCTGAGGGTGACCCAGACGCCTTCGATATCCCGACCCCTCGCACCTACGCTGAGGCCACCTCGGGACCTTGGGCCTCTCAGTGCATAGCTGCCATGGAGCAGGAGATGGGATCTTGGAGGTCCACCGGCACCTACGTCGACGCAGTTCCCCCGCCTAGGGTGAACGTAGCCGATGGTCGGTGGCTCTTCAAGGTGAAGCGCCCCCCTGGAGAGTCGCCTGTCTTCAAGGCGCGCTACGTGGCCAGAGGTTTCAGTCAGCGCGAGGGGGTTGACTTCTTCCAGACCTTCGCCCCGACCCCGAAGATGACAACTCTTCGGGCGCTGCTACACGTAGCAGCACAGCGCGACTATGAGCTTCACTCCCTCGACTTCTCTACTGCCTTTCTTCAGGGCAGCCTACACGAGCAGGTCTACCTGCGCCGGCCACAGGGCTTCACTGGCACCTTCCCTCCTAGGACCCAGTGGCTTCTCAGGCGCCCGGTCTACAGCTTGCGTCAGGCTTCTCGCGAGTGGAACGACACGCTGCGGGCCACGTTAGCAGATCTGCAGTTCTTTTCGTCCTCTGCTGACCCCTCGCTGTTTGTGCGTTCCGGCTAGACTCCGTTCTACATCCTTGTCTACGTAGACGATCTGGTCTTCGCTACTGCTGACAGGGACGCACTGGCCTCTGTGAAGGCCGAGCTGCTGAAGAGACACACCTGCACTGACCTTGGAGACCTGCGTCGCTATCTTGGCCTGCAGATCTCTAGGGACAAAGCAGCACGCACCATCACTCTGACACAGTCACACTTGGTGCGTCAGGTCCTTCAGAGGTTCGGTCTTCAGTTCTCCTCCGCACAGCCCACACCTCTACCTGTAGACCATGGGCTCTCCGCTCCCGTTCCTGAGGAGCCCGTAGAGCCCAGTGGCCCCTACGCAGAGCTGGTGGGTTGCCTCATGTACCTGATGACTTGCACTCGCCCAGATCTCGCATACCCTCTCAGCATCCTGGCTCGCTTTGTGGCTACAGGCAGACACCGACCTCAGCACTGGTCTGGCGCTAAGAGGGTTTTGTGTTATCTTGCTAGTACATCGTGCATGGGGTTAGTGCTAGGAGGACGCAAGCCAGTGGTCCTTACTGTGCACACAGACGTTTCTTGGGCAGACGACTCTGAGACGCTCAGGTCGTCGCTGGGCTACTGTTTTAGCCTTGGTTCGGGTGCTATCTCTTGGAGATCCACTCGCTCGTCGTCTGTGGCTCAGTCCAGCTGTGAGGCTGAGATCTACCCCGGTGCCATGGCGGCACAGGAGCTCCGCTGGCTGACCTTCTTGCTCACAGACTTAGGTGAGCGGCCTAGCTTTGCCCCGGTCCTGTACGCTGACAACAGGGCCATGATACTCCTGTGTGAGGAGCCTCGGCTTGAGGGCAGAGCGAAGCATATCCAGCTGCGGTACTTCCTCCTGCGCGAGCTACAGCAGCGCCGCCAGGCCCGCGTAGTTCACTTGGCCTCCGGTGCCAACACAGCTGATATCTTTACTAAGGCGCTTGCGCCTAAAGATCATCAGCGGCACTGTGTACAGCTTGGTCTTGTTCCTGTAGCTACTCACATGTTAGGATCCTGATTGTGTACTCTCTATTATATATGCCTGTCAGACTGGCCTTGTGGCCTTACCTCCAGTGGCTGGACTAGTAGTGCCGCACTGGCTTGCTTTAGTCTTGTTTGTACCCTTGCTGACTGGTCTCCAGACCCCTGCCTCAGTGGTTGGACTAGTAGTGCCATCCTGAGCTGTTTGCTTCTTGCTTAGCTTCACCCCTTGTCTAGCCTAGGGAGTGTGTCAACTTATACATGTTAGCTTTGTACAAGTTATAGGCTAGACTTGGGTATGCTTCTAGTGAGTACAACCAACTAGTATATGTTCTAGGTTTCTACTTCTAGTCTATTATTCAGTTCTTACTTTAACATATATATATATATATATAATATATATATGTTGACACAAGGATGAGGTTCGGTTCGGTCAGGGATCAAGGAGCGCGATTGCGTTTGTCCTTACCATGCGCAACTCCACTATTTACTGGAATACCAGTGAAGAGATTGAAAAGGATTTCCTGATCAAGGAGTTAATGTACTATGTTGAGGGCTTTTGGTGCCTTCCAGATACAACTATCCATTAAATTAGAAGTGATTGTAGAGAAAAACACTGTTGTAAATCCATTGCAGGCACACTAGTCCTGAATGCGCACTTGCTTGCGTGTCAGCCTCAAAGTTCCCTTACAACTTCTATTGGAAGAGTGGAAGAGTGCACCACACCACACTTCCTTCCCTCTCGTGCTTGAATCTGCGGTTACTAGAAGAAAGGAGAAAAGAGGATCCGAGACCCAATGAGCGTCATGAGCGCAAGAGGTCTCTCCTGGATCCCTCCAGCCCGCCTCTGTATCCGACCCATCAACTCAACTCAGTAGGCTTGAAAAGCCCTCACAGATTTCCGAAGGTAAACCTGTTATTCGCATATCCTCCGATACTAGCACACTGGCTTGGACGCCCAGCGCACCAGCGACGGCCGTCCCATTTGGCCGCGCAGGGCACCATCGGGGAAAGCCTGCGTCCGAAGAACAATGTAGAAGCTCCTCGGCGTCTGGTCAATCTTCTGAAACAGCTTGTAAAAGGTCATAGACGTGCCAGGGACGAACTTGCGCGTGGCGTCAGTGATCCACGTGTCCATTTTCAACTCGTCGGGAGTGCTTCCGGTCGTCCACGCGTTGGGCAGCTCCCAGATCGGCGCGCCGTTGCTGCCGCGGCGGCCGTCGTAGAGCGTTTGGTTGGTGGGCGGCAGGGGGAGGGTGAGACCCTCCACGTCGAAGTGAACCTTGATGTTGATCGTACGGTTGCCCTGCCTGCTCGCAAACAAGCGGACGCACACACAGAGACAGGCACACAGAGACAGAGGGTTTGGTTGGTGGGCGACAGGGGGAGCGTGAGACCGTCGGCGTCGAAGTGAACCTTGACGTTGGCCGTGCGGTTGCCTTGCGCCTCCTCTCAGCAAAGCTGTGCGTGCCGGGCTCTTTGATGCATTCATCATGCGCGGCGCAGCGCGGCGCAGCGTGCAAAGCTAGCAGCTAGAGTTTCCCTCGCTGGCAGTAAAGACATCTGAGAGCATTTCTAGGAGCGCACGAGCTGCAACGCTCGGAGGAAACGACGAGCTTACTGGTAGATTAAAGCGCGGAAGCTGCCCCTGGCGAGCGAATCGCCTCCCAGAGTCGCGCTGAGCACATTCTTGGCACTCAGGGCGGAAACTAGCAGGCCTGCGCGGCAAGGAGGGAGGGAGGGGGGGGAGAGAAGACGGGTGGGGAAGGCGATCAATTATGAATCCGGCAACTGGAACGCCGGGCAGGAACTGGAAAGACGGGCAGCAACTGGAAAGACGGGCAGGCTCAATCTTGAGTGAGAGGGGCAGGCAGGAGTGTGCGAGGCACGGAAAAGTGAGAGGAGGGAGGGCAGGTTTGACTAACATCTTCGAATCCCGGGAAAGGGAACGGCGGTGATTGACGGCATGGCAGGGAGAGTGGGGCCTTTGCTCTTGGGGGGGGCGGCGAAAGCGCATGACGCGGTGGTGACGAGAAGAACGCACGCCAGAAGAGCTGGAGGGTGGCAGGCAGGGGTGGGGCGAGGCAGGGGTGGGGAACGGTTGGAATGGAGCAGTTAAACAACGCAGTAACCTGTCTTTGAGAATCTCTTTTGAAGAGAGTGGATTCACGCCTTAAGACCAGAATAGGATGCTAAGTACGGGAAGCTATAGGTGGCTATGAATGTCCTGGGGTAATAAAGGAAAACAATGGCGGCAGTAGAAAGTATACTGCTAGCTACAGCACACCTGCTGCGGTTGAACGGTCTCCGGTAGCCATGATAGCAGCTGGTTCAATATGCTGGATTTGGGCTCGAAAGCTTGTTGGCTTGGAAAAGTTATGCGAAGTAGTATCGTCGAAGTAAGTTTGTGATGGTGTCAGTCACGCTTCTCTAGCAGCTATGCAACATCAAATGCTACACTAATGGTGATAGAATAATGGTCACGCTTCTCTCAGCAGCTACCTGCCACCGCGTTCTACGTTGTGTCGGCAACTACGCGAGAGCCACTTGCCGAACTAGCAGCCGACGTTGGAGATACGCCGGCAACTGCCATGGGAAGGCAATCCGCGTTGTTTCGATGCTGGCGTGCGGCGAAAGAGCCGTTGTGTTTTGTGACTCCCAGCGAAAGCTACTGTTGTGTTGGGATGGGGGAGTGCCTGGTTGTTAGGTTTGGTGGGGCACCGCAAGTGCAAGTTTGGTTGGGCTGCTTCGAGACGGGGGGAAAGGGTGGCTGGGGGCGAGGCGAGGCGAGGCGAGCCGACACCAGTTGAAATCAAACTGTCGGTTGGGGGTTTGGTCCCCCGCGAAAAGCGAAAAAAGCGAAAATGTCGAATTGGCCAAATGTTGGCACGAAGCGCGATCATCTCCCACATTCGACGCTGAATCCCGAGCGCCATGCGCACCCGAGCATGCGAAGCATGGATGCTAGGGAAACTGTATAAACTGCATAACTGTAAGGAATTAGGGATTCCTTACTAAGGCTTGCTACAGGGCGTACGACTCGAACAGTCCCGAACCATCGCCAGGGTTCCAGACCTATCAGTTCGAGCCTCCTGGGCCTTTCCGGACCTCACTACGACACATCGAGACCCTTCGATACTTTTCCCGAACCTTCCGACCCTACGTCCAGGATCACCCAAGGCTTTCTATATATTGTGTGTTCTTTCATTTTATTGTCATTCACTCGTTCACAGTTTCGCCATTGCCCTCCGCGCTACTCGGCAGTCCCATTCATAACACTTGGTATTCAGAGCCACTTTCCTCATCCGCTGGGCTTCTGAGGGCAATTTTTTTTTGGGAGAGGGAGAAGGCGGATGGCGCTACAGAAGGCACTGCGGTTGTCCTCAAGCATGATATGATATGCTTCAACAACTGCGTCTGCGTGGGCTTCTAACAACCGTCGATCCGACCCCAAGGGACGAGCAGGATTCGCTCGGCCATCCCCTCGAGGGTGGTTGTGTCTGTTCAAATTATATAAGTTATAATTTATATAGGCTTGGTAGGTTGTTACTGAACCTTTCTGTAGGGGGTACAAACCCCTCCTTGTACTCCCCTCTCTTCCTAATCCAACTCTCTTTTCTCTCGACACTTTTCCTACCCTCCTAGCTAAACCCCGCCGCCACATTCATGGCGCCTTGTTCCTGCCTAGTATCCTAGCCTAGAGCTACTTAAACATGGTATCGAGAGCAGGACGTCCTTCCTGGGCCTGCTCCCCTCCGTGCTTCCGCTGCGTTCTCGTTTACTGCCTTCCGACTTCCTCCCGTGCCGCCGTGGCGGCCATGCCCGTTCCTGCCGTGCCGTCGCGTCGTGACGCGTGGCGTCGACGCCACACTGCTGTGACGGCGCTGTGCTTACCATCGCAGCGGCGACGTCCCACCGCTGCATCGACGCAGCGATGTGTCGGCGTCGTAATGCTGCTGTGGCAGCGTCGTCGGACGGCAGCTTGCCGCGCGACGTTCATGGCGCCGCCACACCTGCTGCCCGCACGCCAGCCTCAAGAGTGAGGCTGGACCACGCCCCTCCCCCCTTCCCCTGTATCCTGTATCTTGCCGCAGCTGACGGCTGATTCCCGCCGGCCGTCCCACCCTCGCGGGGTCTGGCCACGTCACCGAGAGGTGCGGGTGCCGCCGCCGCCGCCGCTGTCGCCGCTTGCGTCGGGGCCACGCAGCCGCACGCCGCCGCCGCCGCCGCTGTCGACACTGCCGCCGCTGCCGGCGTCGCCGCCGCAGCCCCTGCGGTCGACGTCGCCGCCTCACGCACCGTGGGGTCGACCGACCTAGTGTAGCTGTCCCTGTGGCTGGAATGGGGGTGCTAGGTTAGGGGGTGTGTGGTGTGTTGGGTGGGTGTGTGACTACCAAGCCTAGGGGGTGTGTTCAAATTATATAAGTTATAATTTATATAGGCTTGGTAGGTTGTTACTGAACCTTTCTGTAGGGGGTACAAACCCCTCCTTGTACTCCCCTCTCTTCCTAATCCAACTCTCTTTTCTCTCGACACTTTTCCTACCCTCCTAGCTAAACCCCGCCGCCACATTCATGGTGCCTTGTTCCTGCCTAGTATCCTAGCCTAGAGCTACTTAAACAGTGTCCGTCCTGACATGGCGAAGTTTTTGAAGAGTGTTTCCGGTATGTTGTTCATTTCGCATATCGGCAATTTCGGCAATTTCGGCAAGCATCAACGACGATTCGGATTGGTGTCCGAATGGAGCGAGGAGCTCGTCACGAGACGACAAGCTCGTGGATATCCCCAGGCGAAATGGATTTCGTCAGGAGCGCGTCTAGCAGACGTGGCTGCATGGTGAAGTGTAGCTGATGTCAAGGGCTCGGCGTTTCCGGCAGGCGACACGCAGGTGAAGACGGGACTTCGGAACTGTTCAGCAAACGCGGCGTTGGAGTTTCCGGCACGACCAAGGATCGCACAACAGCACACGTGGGGCTCAGGCACGGAAGATTTTCGGGGAGTACTGACCTCGAAATTTATTCGCGTGACCTGCCCGCCTGGAGGTGTAATTCGTCTGCCCTGGAGTTTCGAGCTCGACGAGTCTGGATTCCTGCAGAGGAAGCCATTTTCGTGGTCAGAAATTACGCCCCACGATCTATGGTGGACGACCAGCAACTACCCTCGGGTCGAGTTTAAGTGTCATCGCCGGGTCACCGCTACAAGTCAACGACGAAGAGCTGTAGCAGAGAAGGAGAACGACATGGTAACAGCCGGGAAAAAAATAAGAGTCAGCGGCAGACGGATCCTCCGACTGACTTGGCTGGGTCGCCCGATCTTCAACATCTCCACCGGGTGGTAGTACGACACATGCTATCGACCGCTCCCGGACGAATAAGGGAGGATGAGCCAGCGGATCACCCTGTGCTGGTGGATCGAGGGAAAAAATTTCGGCGCTACACGACAGGCGAACGATTGGTGAAAATCGGACGCTGTACAGTGGGTGGCGCGTGAAGCGGATTGACGAAAAAAGCGGAGGAGTTTTGTGACGGAGATCGGACGGTACGCGGAGCTCGAGTCCGATACGAACGGCGAGGATGTGTCGCCGAGAACGACGGAGCTGCGAGTTTTTCGAAAGAACGTGGGCGTTACTGTTTTGAGGATGACGAACGTGGGCGCTGGGTGAACAGCGGCCTGCGGGGGGGTTTTACTCTGGAAGCAGAAGTTGAAGAAATTGCAGCAGTTTGGAGCAGATTGTTGCAGAAACATGTTTTTTCAGGGAGGGGAAGGAGAATCCCTCACGTAAGCTGCAAAGCGGTTGCCCTCGAATTAGACTGATTAATTCGCCCAACTACGATACCGTTTGCGCTTACCTGAGTACGGGCACACGGCGGATTCACCCCTGCTCTGGAGTGTAGTCATGAAATGGAGCTTCAGGACGACAAGGGTTACTGTTGCAGTGGGAAAAACGTGTTGCCGTCACGGAAAAATTGGAGTCACGCGGGAGTCTTCACGGATTATTCCTGAGTTGGGGGCCTATAATCAAAGACTCGGCTGCGAGGACTCATTCGGGGATTTACCTGGACGGGCGCAAGGATGGGTGAACGTCGGCGCGTCGCTAAACGTCGGGTATTTTCCGGGTGGGAATTCTTCAAGTTTTTGGCTGGAGCGGTAGCTGGGGTCATGGGTACCTACCGAGCTGTGCGATGGTTTAAATACCAGCATGGTTAGTCGGTGAAACTGCAGAGAATGCGTTTTTCGGAGCTGAGAACTGTACCTGAGTTGTTCTGGGGTACCTGCCGTAGCCGCGAGATGGGTGAACGTCTGCACGGCGAACCGGTCAGGTGGAGTTGAAAAATCTACTGAGGGTAACAACTCGAAGCAGATCGACGGCATTCTGCGGAGAAGATTATCGATCTACGGCGTCGGATGGAGCTAGAGTTTACGTGGCGCAGTTGCCCTGCGTTATAGGGTCCAGCTGAGACTAGTCCCGACGAACAGAGTTTGAAGATACTTTAAGTTTCGGGTCTGAAGGAACTTGAAGCAGGGTGTTTTCGGCATCAACGACGGAATATTTTCTTTTCATGGAGGGGGGAGAGAGCAGCTGCGCAGCAGTTGTTATTTGGAGTTACCTTCGACAAGTTTGACATCCGCTGCAGGAGCATCGACGGATAGATGCTGTTTGACCGACTGAATCGACAGACAGATTCGAGTTGGTTGTTCGGGAATTTCGCAGGAGTTTGCGAAAGTTGAAGGCGTGTTTACATTAGCCGCCTTAGGCGACATCGACTACGGTTACTGTACTGGTTGAGCTTTCGTTCTTGTGCTGATGGAACTCGCTGACTTTCGTGAGACGCGGACGCGTGTTCTCGCATGTGTCGCGAATGACCTCGCATTTGACGAAGAGCTAGAGTTCGTTGACTTTGCGAAATACGGACGCGCGTTTCTGCGAGTGTCACGACTCACGTGGAATTAAACGAGGAGCGTTCTACAGTTACGGAGCTTCGGACAAGTTTGGCGCTATGCAGAAGATTCGGCTCGCCAACTTGCAGCAGCGTGAATATCGTAGTGTTACTGTGCGGATACAGTGCACGACGATTGGGTTTGTAATTGTCGGCGAAGGATTCGCTGGAGACAATAAAACTGTGGTGCGGTAGTATCCCTACTGCCCGTTTGGTTATCTGGGTAATTCGACCAAGATTCGACGGCTACGATCGACGGCGATCGTTTCGACACGTTTCGACCGTTGGATGGAGTTTCTTTGAAGAAGCTCGACATTCTCAACAGTGGTGGCTTCACTACTACGAGATTCAGTTAGTGTGTGTTGTTTTGTTTATTTGTGTGCTTATCTAGAAAGGGGGAGAGTGTAAGGAATTAGGGATTCTTGACTGAGGCTTGCTACAAGGCGTACGACTCGAACAGTCCCGAACCATCGCCAGGGTTCTAGACCTATCAGTTCGAGCCTCCTGGGCCTTTCCGGACCTCACTACGACACATCGAGGCCCTTCGATACTTTTCCCGAACCTTCCGATCCTACGTCCAGGATCACCCTAGGCTTTCTATATATTGTGTGTTCTTTCATTTTATTGTCATTCACTCGTTCACAGTTTCGCCATTGCCCTCCGCGCTTCTCGGCAGTCCCATTCATAACAATAACGCTGAAAGCTACACAAACAGCATCTGAGATTAGCAGCCCCATCTCATTAGAAACCTAACCTATTTGCATAACCATTGCCTAAAATTTATTTAAGAGCGATGAAATGGCACCAGATACGCGAATTCCTTATTATACAACTCATAAAACTATAATGAGCACAAAGTGGAGTGCTCATTCATAACAAAATATATGAAGCGCAAACATCAAGCCCTAGAACCAAGCACTCCGCATAGTGAAGGCACAGAGGCAAGAGTAGACCCCACCCAGCCCTACTCTTGACCCTGTGCCCTCCATCTCTCGTAACTGCATCTTCTATACCAGCAGACGACCCACATGCTCCAATAACATGAATGATTGACCGCCATACACCGTTCCATGCATCCTCACCCTAACCCATAGTCTGGGTTGGAGCATTTTTGGGAAAGGATCTTCCCCCCTTTGAGCACGTACATAATGTTACATGTGGTTAAGATCTGAAAGAAATAACCAGGCAGCGAAGAAAGCAGGTGGGAGGGTATTGGGCACAGCAGAGTTACAGAAACCAAAGGTGATGGGCACAGCAGGGCATGGGAGAAAGCAGCTCCAATGGTGCTGTAACGAGGTGCAAAGAGCAGTGATGGAAGAAAGCTGGGCAGCGGAAATATGCGAACCTGGGGAATGCAAGCACAAGGGCACCTGAAATTGTGGGAACCAGCGTACCTGCATCACAGGACTTTTGATTCCGAAGGATGTGACTCTACCAAACCCCTGGATGTCAACCTGAAGTGTGGCAATGGCGAAAGCAAGAAGTGGATGAATGGAATCAGCTCATAATGAAGCCTAACGAAGCAGGCTGAAGGCAAGTATTGCAAGCTGAGAAAAATCAACGCAGGCTTAAGGAAAATATAAATATTGCAGGCTGGTTGGTGTGCGTAGCGCACCATACATGGTTATTATAATCACACCCACCCACCTTCGCTGCAAGCACATCCCCATTCCGGTATATGCGCCATCCTTTCTTCACAGGTAGATTCTCCAGGTTGAACGGTGCTTTTACTGGAGATGACTTAAGCGCGAACACGTTCATGGGAGGGAGCTGGCGCGGGGAGAGAGAGCAAGGGAAAGAGGAGTTGGGGAAACAAGGCCGGGACGATTACAAGGGGCATGGAGGGTGATGGGAAAGAGTGAACCCAAACTGCTGCTGCACAAAAGAGAAGTGCAGGGTCCAGGAATCAAGTTCAGAATCAAACTGCTACTCCACATCCATGTAGCTAGTGTGATGTTTCAATGCATAGGTGCTGGGTGGTTGTTCTTGCGCCTGGAATTCCAGGCGCAAGAACAACCTCGGACTTCTCGAGGACCGTGCCATTATACTCTCTGCGTGCACGTAGATGGCGATATCTCTTAATCCACACAGATTGCGGCGCACATCGAGGAGCACATCCAGGAGTGCAAATTACCTTGGAGTTCCCGAGGAACGTGCCGTTGTACTCCGCGTGCACGTAGATAGCGTTGATCTTGAGCCCGTACGGGTTGGGGTTGTAGATGGAGCTCACTCTCATTCCATATATGCTGGGGGGGTGCAGATCGAGGTGCAGATCGAGGTGCAGATCGAGGTGCAGATCGAGGTGCAGATCGAGGTGCAGATCGAGGTGCAGAAACGTACCTTGGAGTTCCCCAGGAACGTGCCGTTGTACTCCGCGCGCACATATATAGCGTTGATCTTGAGCCCGTAGGCATTGGGGTTTTGAATACAGGCGCAAGAAATACCTTGGAGTTGCCGAGGAACGTGCCGTTGTACTGCGCGTGCACGTAGATGGCGTTATCTCTCACCCATATATGTTGGGGGTTGTAACTCGTAACCCTAAAAGTGTAGAACGCACCTTGGAGTTGCCCAGGAATGTGCCGTTGTACTCCGCGTGGACGTAGATGGCGTTGATCTTGAGCCCGTACGGGTTGGGGTTGTAGATGAGCGCGTTGAACGTGAGCACGCCCGTCACGAACACATCGAAGCCGTTCAGCGGGTCGCCGCCCAGCCGCGCGTGCTTCACCGACCAGTCTACCGTTTCTATCTTCAACTCCGGTTGCTGCGAGCCAGGGGATTGGGGGAGAGGGTAGAGGGGGGAGGGGAGTGGGGGAGAGGGGAGAGGGGGGAGGGGAGTGGGGGAGAGGGGAGAGGGGGGAGGGGAGTGGGGGAGAGGGGAGAGGGGGGAGGGGAGTGGGGGAGTGGGGGAGAGGGGGGAGGGGAGTGGGGGAGAGGGGAGAGGGGGGAGGGGAGTGGGGGAGAGGGGGGAGGGGAGAGGGGAGAGTAGAGGATGACTTTGAGAGCACGCCTGTGAGCGTTGGGGTCATGAATGACCGCGTTGAGCGTGAGCTAGCTCGTGACGCGCTCCTCGAAGCCGCTCAGCGGGTGCCCGCCCAGCCGCGCGGTCTTCACCGACTAGGCTACCATGTCAATCGTCAGCTCTGGCTGCTGCGAGGGGGGAGAGGGGAGGAGAGCGAGGGGAGGAGACGAGGGAGGAGAGGGGGGAGACGGGGGAGGAGAGAGAACGACTCAGAGGAGCGCACGGTTGTACGGGTTGGGGTTATAGATGAACGCGGTGAGCGAGAGCACCCTGCGTGATGAGTCTATTTTTGAGGCGCCTCAAAAAGAGAACGACTCAGAGGAGCGCACGGTTGTACGGGTTGGGGTTATAGATGAACGCGGTGCGCGAGAGCACCCGCGTGACGTGGGGGAGCGAGAGAGCGGGAACAAGGAAAACGCAAGCGAGGAGGAAGGAATAGGCAAGACACGGGAGTGTTGTGCACTGGTTGGCTGTGCATAGGTGTGTTGTGGGGGGGGGGGGGGGGGGGGGAGGACGGACCTTGAGCTTGAACGGGTTGCTCGCTTTGCGCTGTGCTGACGTCAGAACTCGCTGCCACGCATGGCGCAAGCTCCCAAGCGGTGGCTCTCTCTCGGACGTGAGAACTCGCTTTCGCCATGCCGATTCCCGTATTTGAGTCGAGTCAGAAGCAGACCCTGGAACTCGATTTCTCCACGCCTTTTCCCGTGCCGCAACAGCCCTTAGTCGCTTTGTTCGTATAGACCGAGCCACAGGCCGACTGTGAGACGAATCCAGATCCGACGGAACTGTAGTGATCTGGCTTGTAGCAGAATGATCCTTTATCACGTGGGCTTTAGCCGTGTGGTCTGCTGCGTTAACCGGGTGTGTGAGAACCGAAAAGAGAAGAACCGAAAGTGCTATAGCTAGTAAACCCGAGACGACGATCCCCGGGGAGGAATCTGCCATACGGCTTGGAGGCTAAGAACGACGATCGTCTTAACCCGTCGCTCGCTGAAGGAAGCGACGAGTGCGAAGCATGTCAATAAGGCCTGCTAGGTTCAATAAGGCCTGCTAGGTTTACTACTTCTATTGGAATGCCGACTAGTTATACTGTCTCGTCGGTAAGCCGTTGCTCTGACAGCTTGTAGTTGACTAGACGGAGTGCTTGGAAGTAAGAGCTGACTCGTGTTTACTAGATCCCAGCTAGAGATCTGTTTGCGGTGAATAGTGAAAAGCGCTCGTGCAACCATCTAGCCTGTTCGACTCAGTGCCAAGTTGTCGGTGGATTAAAGGAGCAACGACGGCGTGAGATGCTACTGTCGAACAAGAGCACTGGATCGAATCGCTCCTTATAGTGTCACACATTGCAGGTACAGCAGCTGGAGGGGGGTTCCGAGGGGGTGCCGGTGGCCAGACGCCAAGCATGACACGTGTATGCCGTGGCTGCGTTTCAGTCACCACCAGCAGCAGCCACTAATATTTACAGCACCAGAAGGAAGGAGGAACAGCTTGCAGTTGGTATGGCGGACAGAACGGAACCGGAGGGTGGGAAAAATAATTAGGTAGGTAGACCGGAAATCACTCACAAGACACTCACTATGATGCCTTCATGCTGGGCTGATGGTGGTGGTTGGGCTAATGGGATTGCCTTCCCAGCATCGATACGGACTCACTTGGCTCGGACTGGTCAACTCGGCAAACTGGGTGGCTCATATACGGTGAATTACGGTTGGATGAGATCGTTCGGGTTATGGAGGCGTGAAGTCGGCTACTCTCTCTCCCAGATTGGTTTTCCCAGAGCTGCAGCCGTCCGTCCGTCGGCCAGCCGGCGGCATTCCCAAAGTTGGGCATCGCACAGCGCACACCCTCGGGAAATGGGTGCTGCGATTCGGCTTTGCCTGTGTCGCCGCGTGCTGTGTCGTCTGGAGGCGCAACGGCCTCCAGAGGAACCTCCCCCCCTTTGAAGCGATCCATACACCCCGTTTGAGTGTCGATGACGTCATGGTTGTGTAAGTGGTAGTACAGTCACATGCTGCAACATGGTATTTCACTGTACTTGCTGGTGCAGCAAATAAGAATAGAACGAAGAATGGTACATTAATATTAGAAGTAGCATAGCTCATCCACATCAGGAAGTACGAGCCATAAATGATTAAAAGTTCGAGTCACCCTAATCCCTCTTTTTATGTACCAATTGTTTTTCCTCTTCTGACCGATCTACTGACATAGAGCGGGGAGAGGAAACGGCGTGGTTGACAGGGATAGGATGGGAAGAAGACTGCGGGGAGTCGGGCGCAGATGATTCGGAGTGAGTCGAGGGAGCGGAGGGGTGGGAGTGGAGAGTGTGGGGGTGGGAGTGGAGCCCCCTCACGAGGTGAGAGAGGGAGACCACTTGATACCCCTGGCGTCTGAGCTCTGGGAGCATCATGCGGAGAATCTGCGAGGAATGAGTAGTGAGCACCAGAGTGAACAGCAGAGTCAGCAGCAGAGTGAGCAGCAGAGGGGGCAACGGAGTGAGCAACGGAGTGAGCAACAGTGTGTGGACCTAAGTTAGAATGACGACCATGACAATTGATGCGTGACAACGCAAAAGCGTGACAAGGAGCATCCGTACCAAGGAGCATACCGTACCAAGGAGCATACCGCACCAAAGAGCATACCGTACCAAGGAGCATACCATACCAAAGAGCTGTTTTTGAGGCGCCTAAAAAAAAGCAAACAGCAAAGAGCTGCAGCACAGATAAGTCTGGTCCCAACAGCTGGGCTGAATTCGGCTCACCTCTACCACACCCCCTGAGGACGAATCACAGAGTTTGTGTTTTTGAGTCACTCCCCCCTCACATCTACGGTTTGTTTTTTTATTCCGCTTTTAAGTCAAGTCGGAAGCAGGGAGACTGCACCCTCACCTCTACTGTTTGGGTGCCTTGCTGCGGGCGGTCATGCAGGATGATGATGGCGCCTGGGTAGATCTGCGGGGAGAAGGGAAGGGAAGGGGAGGGAAGGGGAGGTGGAGGTGGAGGTGGAGATGACATTTGAGTCAACTCACCAGTCATCTTGCGCCTTGCTGCGGGCGGTCATGCAGGATGATGATGGCGCCTGGGTAGATCTGCGCGGAGAGAAGGAAGGGGAGGTGGAAACGGAGATGACATCTGAGTCGACTCACAAGCCATCTGCTGCGGGCGGTCATGCGGGATGATGATGGCGCCTGGGTAGATCTGCTTGCAGAAGGGCAGGGATGGGGATGATGGGGATGATGCGGATGATGCGGATGATGGGGATGATGCGGATGATGCGGATGATGGGGATGATGCGGATGATGCGGATGATGCAGCTGATGCGGATGATGCGGATGATGCGGATGATGCGATGATGGGGATGATGCGGATGATGGGGATGATGGGGATGATGGGGACGACAGGATGGCTGCTGTCCATAAGGAGGGCGACCGAGCAGCAAAAGACCTCCCCCCACCCCCACCCCCCTTCTCCCCATTCCGCGCATCTCTGTCCCGTCCAGAGACAGTAGGCTGCCAGGGGCGGCTGCTGTCCTTAAAGAGGGCGACCATGGTGGGGACGACGGGGCGACAATGGAAGACACGGCGCAGCAAACGACATCCCCTCCCCCATGCACCCCCTTCCCCTCCCCTCCCCCATTCACCCCCTTCCCCTCCCCTCCCCCATTCACCCCCTTCCCCTCCCCTCCCCCATGCACCCCCTACCACCCATCACTGGACCGTCCAGAGACAGTAGGTGGCGAGGGGCGGCTGCTGTCCTTGTTGAGGGGGGCCATGGGGAAGACCGAGCCCAGAGCCACGTTGTAGCGGGGAATTGAGGCGCCTCAAAATCTCACCCAACCTGCCGCATCGTACCTTCCACAGGCAGTGGGTTGCAAGCCGTGGCTTGAGGTGCCTGCCTCAGCACAGAGCCGCATTGTACCTTCCACAGGCAGTGGGTTGCAAGTGGGCGGCTGCTGTCCTTGACAGAGGGGGTCCACGGGGAAGACGGAGCCCAGAGCCACGTTGTCGCCGGGGCTTGAGGCGCCTCAAAACAGCGCCGCATCTTACCTTCCACAGACAGTATGTTGCAAGCGGGCGGCTGCTGTCCTTAAAGAGGGGGTCCACGGGGAAGACGGAGCCCAGAGCCACGTTGTAGCCGTGGCGCTGTGCCAGCTGGCGCATCCTCTTGGTGTACCACCCATGGCCCTGGGAGGAGAGATTGGGGTTGTGTGCAGAGAAGTAGTGTGAACGGTTAAGAGCACTGAAACAGATGGCTGTGAAACAGCCGTGGCGCTGTGCCCGCTGCCGCATCCTCTTGGTGTACCACCCATGGCCCTGGGAGGAGCGATTGGGGTTGTGTGCAGAGAAGTAGTGTGAACGGTTAAGAGCACTGAAACAGATGGCTGTGAAACAGCTGTGGCGCTGTGCCCGCTGCCGCATCCTCTTGGTGTACCACCCATGGCCCTGGGGGGCGGGGGAAGAAGTTGGGGTTGTGTGCACAGCACAGAAGTTGTACGAATGGTTGAGGTGGCTGTGAGACAGCTGTGGCGCTGTGCGAGCTGCGCGTTCTCTTGGTGTACCACCCATGGCCCTGGGGGGGGAAGAGAGGGAGGATGGGGGGGGAGAAGAGAGAGAGGATGGGCACCACTGACAGGTAGGCTTGAGCAACGGGTCGGGTCGGGTAACCCCACCCAAACCCGACTTTTTGACGGGTCGGCTCGACATTCGCCAAGGGTCGACCCGACCCGACCCGACCGACAAAACCCGACCCGTCGGGTCGGCTTATTACCCGTCCCTGCCCCTAAGCCAACCCGACCCGACCCGACCCGACATCGGGTCAGGTAGTACCCGACCTATTAAACCCAGGTCGGGTTGACATTTCCTGAACTCCGACCCGACTTGACCCGACCCGACCCGACCCGAACCCCACATCGGGTAGGGCAAAGTCGGGTCGGGTCGGGTCGGGTCGGGTTTATGCTCAAGCCTGACAGGGTTTCCCTCAGCATGCCTCCTATAGTTGCAGTGCAGTTTGGCATCCACCGCCGGCGGCAGTGATGACTCTAACAGGGTGCCATGCCATGCCGACAGAAAGCGGGGAGCATTGACCCAACCCACCGGTCTGAACCACTTGACAGGGTTGCCCCCGCGTCCCTCCGGAAGTAGCGGTGCAGCTTGGCGTCCACCGCCACGCCAGCAGAGACGAATCAAATCGGGCGTGGTAGACTCAAGAGCAACAAACAGGCTCAGAAGAACAAGGTGGGGCATCAGGCACACTCAAGAGGTTGACTGACCGGTCTGAACCACTTGACTGGATTTCCCCCGGCGTCCCTCCGGAAGTAGCGGTGCAGCTTGGCGTCCACCGCCAGCAGAGACGACTCAAACTCATTCGGAGGTAGTCGCCAGCTGGGGGCGTCTTCGGTCATGTGGTTGCCCACCTCGTGGCCTGGTGGGTGTGAGCGTGAGCGAGGGAGCGAGAGGACACACACACACACTTGGGGCGAGTGGGCAAACTCGTGTGGGGGCAATCCCCAGATGGGGGCGTCTTCTGTCATGTGATTGCCCACCTTGTGACCTGGTGTGCGTGTGGGAGGGAGCGAGAGGACTGACACACACACTTGGGGCGAGTGGGCAAGCTCGTGTGGGGGCAGTCGCCAGCTGGGGGCGTCTTCTGTCACGTGGTTGCCCACCTCGTGGCCTGGTGGGTGTGTGGTGGGTGGTGGGATGGGAATCAAAGGCAAGTATTGCATGGGTTGCGTGAGGCCTAACCGCCAGCTGGGGGCGTCTTCCGTCATGTGGTTTCCCACCTCGTGGCCTGACAACAATAAGCATAAGCGCACGCAAGGGGTGCGACGGAATGGGATCGGCGGTTGCAGGTCTACAAAGAGGTCATATACATGCAGCGTCTGTTTATTCAATTGCAAGCCACATGTTCACAGTCACCGCATGCATGAAACCCCCATTCTCTCCCCTTCAGCGTGCATGCAACCCCCCTCTAACCTTTGACATGCATCAGACCCCTCTCTCACCTTCAGCGTGCATGCGGTCCACTATTTGCGGGTATCTGTCAATGTTTGTTCCAATCAGGAAGAAGGTGGCCGTGCACCCATGGTCCTTGAGCAGATCCAGCAGCTAGCGAGGGGAAAGGGGCGGGGGGCGCAAGGTGGAAATAGGAAGGATGATAAGTGAATGAATGCAGAAGGTGGCCGCAGACTGGACAGAGAGTACCGGGAGTACCGAGAGTACCGAGAGTACCGAGAGTACCGAGAGTATCGAGAGTACCGAGAGTACCGAGAGTACCGAGAGTACCGAGAGTACCGAGAGTACCGAGAGTATCGAGAGTACCGAGAGTACCGAGAGTACCGAGAGTACCGAGAGTACCGAGAGTACCGAGAGTACCGAGAGTACCGAGAGTACCGAGAGTACCGAGAGTACCGAGAGTATCGAGAGTACCGAGAGTACCGAGAGTACCGAGAGTATCGAGAGTACCGAGAGTATCGAGAGTACCGAGAGTACCGAGAGTACCGAGAGTACCGAGAGTATCGAGAGTACCGAGAGTATCGAGAGTACCGAGAGTATCGAGAGTACCGAGAGTATCGAGAGTACCGAGAGTATCGAGAGTACCGAGAGTACCGAGAGTATCGAGAGTATCGAGAGTACCGAGAGTACCGAGAGTATCGAGAGTATCGAGAGTACCGAGAGTATCGAGAGTATCGAGAGTACCGAGAGTACCGAGAGTATCGAGAGTATCGAGAGTACGAGAGTACCGAGAGTATCGAGAGTACCGAGAGTACCGAGAGTACCGAGAGTATCGAGAGTACCGAGAGTACCGAGAGTACCGAGAGTATCGAGAGTACCGAGAGTATCGAGAGTACCGAGAGTATCGAGAGTACCGAGAGTAGAGTACCGAGAGTACCGAGAGTATCGAGAGTACCGAGAGTATCGAGAGTACCGAGAGTATCGAGAGTACCGAGAGTATCGAGAGTACCGAGAGTATCGAGAGTATCGAGAGTACCGAGAGTACCGAGAGTATCGAGAGTACCGAGAGTACCGAGAGTACCGAGAGTACCGAGAGTACCGAGGAGAGTACCGAGAGTACCGAGAGTATCGAGAGTACCGAGAGTACCGAGGTACCGAGAGTATCGAGAGTACCGAGAGTATCGAGAGTACCGAGAGTACCGAGAGTACCGAGAGTACCGAGAGTACGAGAGTACCGAGAGTACCGAGAGTACCGAGAGTACCGAGAGTACCGAGAGTACCGAGAGTACCGAGAGTACCGAGAGTACCGAGAGTATCGAGAGTACCGAGAGTACCGAGAGTACCGAGAGTATCGAGAGTACCGAGAGTATCGAGAGTACCGAGAGTATCGAGAGTACCGAGAGTACCGAGAGTACCGAGAGTATCGAGAGTACCGAGAGTATCGAGAGTATCGAGAGTATCGAGAGTACCGAGAGTATCGAGAGTACCGAGAGTACCGAGAGTACCGAGAGGTATCGAGAGTATCGAGAGTACCGAGAGTATCGAGAGTACCGAGAGTACCGAGAGTATCGAGAGTACCGAGAGTACCGAGAGTACCGAGAGTATCGAGAGTACCGAGAGTACCGAGAGTACCGAGAGTATCGAGAGTACCGAGAGTATCGAGAGTATCGAGAGTATCGAGAGTACCGAGAGTATCGAGAGTACCGAGAGTACGAGAGTACCGAGAGTATCGAGAGTATCGAGAGTACCGAGAGTATCGAGAGTACCGAGAGTACCGAGAGTACCGAGAGTATCGAGAGTACCGAGAGTATCGAGAGTATCGAGAGTATCGAGAGTACCGAGAGTATCGAGAGTATCGAGAGTACCGAGAGTACCGAGAGTATCGAGAGTATCGAGAGTACCGAGAGTATCGAGAGTACCGAGAGTACCGAGAGTACCGAGAGTACGAGAGTATCGAGAGTACCGAGAGTACCGAGAGTATCGAGAGTACCGAGAGTATCGAGAGTACCGAGAGTATCGAGAGTACCGAGAGTACGAGAGTACCGAGAGTATCGAGAGTACCGAGAGTATCGAGAGTACCGAGAGTATCGAGAGTACCGAGAGTATCGAGAGTACCGAGAGTATCGAGAGTACCGAGAGTATCGAGAGTATCGAGAGTACGAGAGTATCGAGAGTATCGAGAGTATCGAGAGTATCGAGAGTATCGAGAGTACGAGAGTATCGAGAGTACCGAGAGTATCGAGAGTACCGAGAGTATCGAGAGTACCGAGAGTATCGAGAGTACCGAGAGTATCGAGAGTACCGAGAGTACCGAGAGTACCGAGAGTATCGAGAGTACCGAGAGTATCGAGAGTATCGAGAGTATCGAGAGTACCGAGAGTATCGAGAGTACCGAGAGTACCGAGAGTACCGAGAGTACCGAGAGTATCGAGAGTACCGAGAGTATCGAGAGTACCGAGAGTACGAGAGTACCGAGAGTATCGAGAGTACCGAGAGTATCGAGAGTACCGAGAGTATCGAGAGTACCGAGAGTATCGAGAGTACCGAGAGTATCGAGAGTATCGAGAGTACCGAGAGTATCGAGAGTACCGAGAGTATCGAGAGTACGAGAGTATCGAGAGTACCGAGAGTATCGAGAGTACCGAGAGTATCGAGAGTACCGAGAGTATCGAGAGTATCGAGAGTACCGAGAGTATCGAGAGTATCGAGAGTACCGAGAGTACCGAGAGTATCGAGAGTACCGAGAGTATCGAGAGTACCGAGAGTACCGAGAGTACCGAGAGTATCGAGAGTACCGAGAGTACCGAGAGTACGAGAGTATCGAGGAGTACCGAGAGTATCGAGAGTACCGAGAGTACCGAGAGTACCGAGAGTACCGAGAGTATCGAGAGTACCGAGAGTACCGAGAGTACCGAGAGTACCGAGAGTACCGAGAGTACCGAGAGTACCGAGAGTACCGAGAGTACCGAGAGTACCGAGAGTACCGAGAGTATCGAGAGTACCGAGAGTATCGAGAGTACCGAGAGTATCGAGAGTACCGAGAGTATCGAGAGTACCGAGAGTATCGAGAGTACCGAGAGTATCGAGAGTACCGAGAGTATCGAGAGTACCGAGAGTATCGAGAGTACGAGAGTACCGAGAGTATCGAGAGTACCGAGAGTACCGAGAGTACCGAGAGTACCGAGAGTATCGAGAGTATCGAGAGTACCGAGAGTATCGAGAGTACCGAGAGTACCGAGAGTACCGAGAGTATCGAGAGTACCGAGAGTATCGAGAGTACCGAGAGTATCGAGAGTACCGAGAGTACCGAGAGTACCGAGAGTATCGAGAGTACCGAGAGTATCGAGAGTATCGAGAGTATCGAGAGTACCGAGAGTATCGAGAGTACCGAGAGTATCGAGAGTATCGAGAGTATCGAGAGTATCGAGAGTACCGAGAGTATCGAGAGTACCGAGAGTACCGAGAGTATCGAGAGTATCGAGAGTACCGAGAGTATCGAGAGTACCGAGAGTACCGAGAGTACCGAGAGTATCGAGAGTACCGAGAGTATCGAGAGTACCGAGAGTATCGAGAGTACCGAGAGTACCGAGAGTACCGAGAGTATCGAGAGTACCGAGAGTATCGAGAGTACCGAGAGTATCGAGAGTACCGAGAGTACCGAGAGTACCGAGAGTATCGAGAGTACCGAGAGTATCGAGAGTATCGAGAGTATCGAGAGTACCGAGAGTATCGAGAGTACCGAGAGTACCGAGAGTATCGAGAGTATCGAGAGTACCGAGAGTATCGAGAGTACCGAGAGTACCGAGAGTACCGAGAGTATCGAGAGTACCGAGAGCAGTTTCAGAAGCTGAGAATGCAATGGAAAGATCAGGGCGGAGACATCACCCTCACCCTGCATGCTGTTCCTCTCAACTGCTCTCTCACTGTACCTCGTGGGTTGTCTCTCCGTTCGGCCCGTCATCAATTGTCAGCGCGACCAGGCGCTCTGATTGGTCAGCGGGGAGAGGGAACAGGGGGATGGAATGGTGGATCGTTTTTTAGGCGCCTCAAGAGCAGGAGGATAAGATCATGGGGCGGATGGAGGGAGGGAGGGTGAGGAGCAAGGCAGATGACAGGGAAGGTGAGTGACAGGGAAGGTGAGCAGCTGCCACGTGCTCTTAAGAATCCTCATGAACAGGGGGGTGGAGGGATGGGGGGATGGAGGGAGGGATGGGGGGATGGGGGGTGGAGGGATGGGGGGATGGAGGGAGGGATGGGGGGATGGGGGGATGGAGGGATGGGGGGATGGAGGGATGGAGGGATGGGGGAATGGAGGGATGGAGGGATGGGGGAATGGAGGGATGGGGGGATTGGGGGATGGATGGAGGGTGAGGAGCAAGGCAGATGACAGGGATGGTGGGTGGGTGAGAGCTTGCCTCGTTCACACTCTCTGCACATTGTTCCCAAAAGAAGCTGCCGACACACAGTGTGGCATGGTGGCGTGCACCTTTGGTGGCGTGCACCTTTGGTGGCGTGCACCTTTGGTGGCGTGCACCTTTGGTGACGTGTTCGAACAGTTTGTGCTCAAGTGGTATGTGTGGCTAATACCTCTGCATAACTACCATCGTGACGCATGCCTTTGATGACGTGTGCAAACAGCATGTGTGGGTAATGCCTCCGGACACCTACCATCGTGACGCATACCTTTAGTGACGTGCTCAAACAGTATGTGTGGCTGGTTCTGCCGCACCCAGCTGATGATCCACCGCGGCTGGAACAGCACCCTGCAGCAGACGCAAAGGATGTCATGGGAGGGACAGTGGAACCACGGTGGAACTTAGCAACATCCCATGGCATGCCAGCAGCCAGCCCAAGTCATCCCATGGCATGCCAGCAGCCAGCCCAAGTCATCCCATGGCATGCCAGCAGCCAGCACAAGTTATCCCATGGCATGCCAGCAGCCAGCCCAAGTCATCCCATGTCATCGTGCCATCATTTGCACAATCCGTTGCCCAGAAACCATGCAACTGGTAAGCCCCCCTCCCGCCACCCCAGTGACCCATCAACCATCAATCCTGCACCCAGTAACCCACCCTACAGCGATGAAGAGCGCGAAGCCCAGGCAGAGCGTGCCTGCGGTGGCGGTGACAGCGATCAGAGCGCCGGCGGGCGTCACCCCAACGAGCGACGGCACTACCACCTCCCACTCCACGCCGCTGCTGCTCATTGCCGCGGATGCAGCGAGCGGTACTGGCGACGCCGGGGGGAGCGGAATTGCCGACACTGCAGGGAGCGGAATCGGCGAGGCTGTAGCGAGCGGAATCGGCGAGGCTACAGCGAGCGGAATCGGCGAGGCTAAAGCGGGCGGGCTTTGCAACACGGCAGCGAGCGGAGAACGGGATACTGTAGCAAGAGGAAGGACGATCTCCTGAGGAGATGCGGCGGGAGAGGCGAGTGCGGGCGGGCAGCAGACGACCAGGGCGAACGCTGCTGCGGCAGCGGCGGCGGCTGCTGCGACGGCAGTGGCGGCAGTGGCGGCGACGAATTTCTCTGCGGCAAAATCGCCAGTTACCGGTGCTGCTGAGCCAAGTCGACCAGAAGGCGTTACGACAGGGCCCGCTGGGGGCGACAAGCTGGCGACGAATTGAACAACGGATGCGACAGCGGGAAGACTCGCCGAACGAGGTGAGGGGCAGGAATTTTCGCAGGCTCTGCGGAAGCGAGCGGGAGGGTCGGCGGGAGAGAGCTGGCGGGGTGGGAAGAAGCTAAGGATGGGCAATGGCGAACGAGTCTTGAAAATTACGAAAGTGGAGCGCAAAGGAGAGCGAACAGCGCAATGGCGTGACGAGCGGTCGTGTTGCGTGGGAATGGGGAGGTGACGGCTGAAGCGGAGAGCTATGGAGCAGGTGATAGACGGTGGGCGACGATTTGCGAACGCAACGGGTGCGACTGGCCGTGCGACAACACCGGCTGCTCGCATGAGGCCAGCGGCACACACGCAACCGCGACAGGAGGGGAGGAACAAGGACGACGCAAGGAGGTGTTCCTTCAATGGGATTGAAGCTTCAACGCGTGGTATGGAGCAGACGTCAGGAGGAGGTGGCCCCACCCCGACTTCTATGGCTTGACAGGGCTTGCCATGGCAGTTGGGTCTTCTTGGGAATGATGCCCCCTATTGGTTGGAATCGTACAGGTGAATCTTGGGTAGACTCAAAATTACCTGTGGCCTTGACGAAGTGCTGACGGGGGCTGTTGTGGCTTTGACGACGGATGGCTGCAGGAAATGTGAACACCCACCTGCCACAGTGACGAAACTATGAGAAAAGTGCACAGCTCGCAGTGTTACAACCTAAGCTGCTAATGCTAAAATACAAGTGCTGCATATCTTCCACCATCTGCAAGCTAATTGGCCCTTTTCCCCTTGTCTGCCGAATACAACCTACAAAAAATTGTACGTAAACCCAACGGAAGGATGTCAAGCAGCTATTTTTTGAAGGCATTGTGCTGTTCGTGTTGCTTGCTAGGCTTGAATATTTATGGCGCCACCACCACTGTCTAGCTCAGCTTGGCATGCGCCTCGTGAAGCTTCTCCAGCAACACATCGCTCATCTTACTGCAGCCGATCACCTCCTGCAAGAGGAAAGCATGCCAAAAGGATAGTACCATAAGACAGATGTGGAGTGGCGCCTGACATGCAGCTAGTTTAGTGCTGAAAGGGAAGCTAACCAAGCAAAAGACTGACAGAAAGAGGATAAAGAAAAGAACACTGCACAAACGAACAACGTTTCCGAATACCCAGACTCCAACTTACAGTGCCCGGAGACGCAATGTCGCCAGTCCTGTACCCGGACTCCAGGGCGCTCATGACAGCAGCCTCCAGCAGGTCAGCGCCACGGGGCAGGTTGAGCCCGTAGCGCAGCATCATGGCGGCCGACAGCACCTGCGCCATCGGGTTTGCCTTGTCCTGCCCTGCAATGTCCGGCGCCGACCCGTGCACCGGCTCGTAGATGCCCGGGCCCTGTGGGTGGCAGTGGAGAGGGGAGGAGGATGGAGGGATGGTTTCAATTGGGAGACTGGGCAGAAGGGTTGGAAGGGGATGGGGATTTATAGATGGTACAAATTTGCATTACTGTGCCACGTTATGCCCGCAAACACTCCTCCCCTCCCCCCCCACTCCCCCCCTCTCCCCCCAAGACTCACATCCGACCCAATGCTGGCTGATGGCAGCATGCCAATGGAGCCAGTCAGCATCGACGCCTCGTCTGACAGGATATCCCCAAATATGTTCCCCGTGACGATCGTGTCAAACTGGCGGGGGTTCCTGATGAGCTGCATGGCGGCGTTGTCGACATACATGTGGCTCAGCTCCACATCGGGGTACTCCTCTGCCCCGATGGCGGTGACACGCTCGCGCCACAGCTGCGACACCTCCAGCACGTTCGACTTCTCCACAGAGCAGAGACGGCCGCTGCGCTTGCGTGCCGCCTCAAAGCCCACCCGGGCAATGCGGTCAATCTGGGGAGCAAGAGATTGGGGGAAGGGGATGAGAGGGAAGGAAGTGGGCGGGGGTGGGGATGAGGGAAGGGAGATGCGTTTGTTTGTTTGTTTGTTTATTCTTGTTTCCCATGTGTCTCAGATTGAGCTCCACATTGGGGTACTCCTCTGCCCCAATGGCAGTGACGCGCTCGCGCCACACCTGCGACACCTCCAGCACGTTTGATTTCTCCATGGAGCACAGCCGCCCGCTGCACCTGTGCGCTGTCTCAAAGCCCACCCAGGCAATGCGGTCGATCTGGGGAGTGCCGAGGGAGACGGTCGAGGAAGGGGGGTAAGGGGAAAGAGACGTGGAGGGAGCGGTGAGATGGGAGGGTGTGTGTGTGTGTGTGTGCGTGTGAGTGTGTGTGTGTGTGGGAGAAGGGGAAGTGAACCGAATTGTTGAAGAGCGATAAGGGGTACGTCTGGGACAGTGGAAGGGCAGGAAGAATGGAACGGGGGAGCGTAGGAGGACTAGAAGGAAGAGACGGAGGTGGCAGGATGGGGGAAGAGGGAGGAGGGAGGTGTTTAAGAAACCACTGTGGGGAGTATACCTCAGGGACAGCATAGATCATGGTGTTGAAGCCTGTCCTGTTGCCCTCTGCATCTTGGCCGAAGCCCTTGGGCTGCCCGAAGTAGATCCCTGCAACACATAGCAAAAAACAGCAGTTTTGAGATAAGAACTCAACACCCCCATACAAAGCTCACATCACAGCCTCATAGGTTAGCATAGAAGGGTCACCCGTGCCCATAACCATCCGTGCTGCCGCACCACTCCTCCCACGTTTCCCTTTACCTCTCACTGCTTTTCAGGCTTAATCCTTCCCCTCACCCCCCCTTCCTTCACCTCACCCCCATCTTCTTTCTTCTTCCTTCACTCCCACTTCTTTCCCTCGCCTCCCATTCCATGATGTTTCATTCCGCCTCTCAGTCCTCGCACCACCATGACTCACCACCCGTCAGCTCTCGCACCACCATGATGTCGACTCCCTCCACCACCTCTCGCTTCAACGACGACGCCTCGATCAGCTGCAAGGGGAGTGGAGACAACATGCCAGGAACGGAGCAATGCATGTGAAGCAGGATAGCCGGTTCCCATATCTCAAAGTCGCGCTACTTGTCTAAGGAAATAACAACGTCACGTTACAAGCCCGCTACTCGAACGCCATCTGAAGACTAGACCGATTAGGCCGTGACTTGCATGCCACACCGCAGTACTAGCCCGTCACTTATTCATTTCTCCCTACTAGCCCCTTACCTGAATGCAACCGCACCTGGGGGAAGACGGTCGCAGGGCGCAGGTTAGCGAATGCGCCGAGCCCTGCGCGCAGCCCCAGCAGGCCGCGCTCAGGGCGGAGATCTGCGGGCAGGGTGTCCCACTTGTAGCTGCGGAAGGGGCGTGGAGCATTGGGGGAAGGTGGGGGTTGTGAAGGGCAAGGGGGGGTGGGGTGGTGGCAGGCGGAACTGGTCATTGATGGAGGGTCTTCAGAAACGCCGTTTTTTTATTAAATGTTTCAGCATTCATAATTTACGGGAAAACGGCCGGCAAAGCGCTGTTCCACCCACCCTCCAATTGCTGCGAGCAGCACGGCGTCGCTGTCGCGGCAGGTGGCGAGGGTAGATTCGGGCAGAGGCACGCCGAATTCGTCGATGGCAGCACCTCCGACCAGCGCCTCTTGGAACTCAAAGGTAATGCCTTCCAGATCGCCCAGAGCCTTGAGCAGCCTCACAGCCACTGCCATGATTTCAGGGCCGATACCGTCGCCCGGCAGCAGGGTGATGCGGCATTTCTTCGTCGTCGCACCGTCGCCCGCAGCTGCCATCACTGGCTGTCGTCTGCGACTGCTGCTCCCATTCGCGCCGCTACTGCGACGGTTGGTGACAGACTTGCAGCTGTGAGGGACCGCAGAGAGGCCGTGCGACGGGAGGGACTTGGCGAAAGCCCTGAGAGAGGCGGATTCGCCCTCCGCTGGGGAGATCTGCGTGGGGAAATGCACGCAAAGCAACGAGCGAGCAGCCGCGGTCGCCATGACGGATGCAAGAGATGAGACACTGCTGACTTTGGCCAGGTGCAAGGGGAAAGAGAAACCCTCAGCCCTTCGGGATTGAAGGGAGTGGCAAGATGGAGTGCTGCTGAGGCAGTTCTGCGAGGTCGAAGTGAGCAAAATCTGGCGGGAAGGGTGAGGGCTGCTGTAGGGCTTGGCCAACGTATAACAGGTTTGCATGACAATGTGCCAGCGCTGCTCGAGCCAGTGATAACCACGCAATGTTGAGAGATAGCTTGACAGAAGCCACGTCAGCCTGAATGGTGGAAATGAAGTAAAAATGTAGCATGGTACACTGATAAAAACGCTAAACTAAACCTCATCTGCTTCATAATCTTCCTCTTGTGGAGCAACAAATAACTCCACAAATGATGTCCTTGCACTCCTATTGTGCAGAGCTTGACTCCCATCTTGCGTTGGTTGAGAAAAGGCAGGAATACTACCAACTCCTTGTGCATCTGGAGCTTCATTAGCGTGTCTTCCACTGGGTCCAGTGGCTCGCATGTTGACAACGTGCTGCACTCGCAGAAGGCCATGGCAGTCTATTGTCAGTTTACTTGCATGATTTTCTTTGAGGACAGCAGCAGGAATGCTTGTGGTTGCTGCACTGAGATGCTTGTAGCGATACCTGCACAGCGAACGATGGAGGTTCAGCTGAGGACAAATTCTAGCAAAAACGACCAGCAAATGATTTCTTACAAGAATGAAATGGGCCGGTGACATTTGAAGTCAACAAAAAGGTTGTTGCAGCGTCCGACAAGGAGATCAACCTGAAAAACCAATGATTGTACAAATGCCAAAACGTCAAGACTTGAGAGTTGGCATAGGCCAATGAAAAGCACCAGTGTCAAAATGTGACTTCAATAGACACCCATATGCTGACCTGCAAGTCACCATGACCCTGGGCCAGAAACGTCACTCCTGCGGGCTGAGGGTTAATGGAGATTCGAACACTGGCACCAGGCCACTCCAGATCCTCGATCAACTCTTTGAGAACGCTTGACTGGGAGAAACGCAAAGAGGAACTTGGTCAGTTAGAGGCGAATGACCGGCTGTGGGGAAAACAAGGACACGTCGTTCTCACTGCAAATCTGAGAGGGCGATGTTAATGACACCTACCCGAATGGCAAAGCTGACAGGAGCGTTCTGTGGAGTCGATGTGTCAACATCCAAGGCCCATTCAGGGGGGTTCATATCGGGAAGCAATGTGCGAATTTCTGCTCCAATGCTGCTGTTGCTGTTGGATGGATCAGACAGCCTGGAGACACCTGATCGCAAATCCCCCACCGCAAAGGTCCAAAAAAGAAAACTCAAAATCAAGATGAGAGTTGAAATGGATGCGAATTTCACGCACAACTGCTGCAAGGTGAAGCTTACTTGAGCAAGAGCTGATTATCAGGCCCAGGATACCGCAAGGTGAGTACGTGTCCTGTGGTAGCTGACGCAGAGAACGCCGCCAAGCAATCAATCAGAAGAGAGAGATTGATGCCGAATCGATAGCGAACATCTGGCCGATAAACGTAGTCCAGGAAGAGCTGCACTCGCACAGCAAGAAATTGAGAGCAGCAAGAAGAGTGAGAACAAATCATCGTCGGAACAGCCTCACAACTGAAGTAAAAAGGGCATTTCCCGACCTCTTTCCTAAAAAACGCGCGCGCGTGCAAGCAGTTTAGCTCCTCTGTTACAACCACAAGGCCAGTCTCCGACATCTCCACCACCGCTTCCTGCGAATCACATTAATAGAATCCTAGTCAGTTATACTACTCATGGTAACGAGCAGTTAAAGCATTAAGATTGTTCAAGAGTTTCAGTCTCGTACCTGCTGGCGTTTCCATTTGATGGTGGTAAGCTCGTCCACCAGACTCGCTGTACTGACAAGTGTGCAAACCAGGTCAAAATCCATGGCTACAGCTCGAACAAAAGCAGCAATGAAGAAACGACGTCCGCAGAACGCTGTCGACGGAGAACGCGATGAAAAACAGGAGAAATTCGCTAGTTTGGGGCTTTCGCTGAAAAGCAGGAATCCTGGTTGCTGAGCTAACCTGGCTCAAAGCGTCAGCCATACCCTATCTTAGGTTTGGGCCTGTAACTGTTGGGGGGAGTCAAGGGAAGGGGGGAAAGGTTTGCAGGGAGGGGTGCGGAAGTATGGCGGAGGTTTGACGGAAGGACTTGCCGAGGCTGCTCTGAAATCTCCCAGGTTCCGCGCATGGGGGTGGAGGGGAGGCAGGCGGGCTTTGCACAGAAAAGGTTTGGCGGAAAGACCAGCGAGAATCTCTGAGTTCTCACGCAAAACGGCCGGGGAGGACCGCTGACGAACGAAGGGGTTGGCGGAACGGAGACTTCGAGGTTTCGCACAAGGGCGGGAGAGCGGATTGGATGTGGATGTTTCGCGCGGAAGTGGGCAGTTCAAACAAACAGGTCCAGCCAGGCTAGTGGCGATTCCGGAATCGAGGGGGAAAGCGGGCAGGCAGCAGCCACAAGTGCGTGAGCTGTGAGCCGTGATGGGTTCCGGCCAATCCCAAGGCGAGGTCGAGGGGAAACACCCAGGCACAAAATGGATGATCCCAAGGTGAACAGCTGCACTCCGAATTCTCGGGCTGAATTTTCAGGAAAAACAACCACATTCATATTGTCCAAAGTCAGAGTTGTGCAAGCACCCACCAAGTAAGTAAAATCCTGAAGGGTTTTGGTAACAAATAGCAAAAGGCAAAAGAACAAAAGAAGAAAAATAGCACGGCTGAGCGGGAAACACAGTTCTTACAAAATCTGGAATAACCTCATACAGGGCAATCACCTACGGAAAAGGCTGTCCACTTGTCGCGATTTTCGGCTCCCCATTCCTCTTTGTTGTCTCATCATCGACCATCCCCACAGCCTCATAACCTGCATCCTTCGCCTATCTTCCTTCATTTCTCTGTTCCTGGTTTGCTTGCCTTCTCTCTAGTGGACCTGCCAAGCGTGCTCTCCGTCAATCTGCCTTGGTCTCTTCTTTACGTCAGAAACCTTTCGGATGATAGACATGGGACAGTCATTTTTCCTCAGCTTTCTGGATCCTCATCACCGTCGTCCGTGTCTTTGACTATCCGCTTGGCCATAGACCTTCGAGATTGTAAGTTGCATGACATCCCCGGCATCTCGGTTTAACATGTTTCAATAGGAAATATAAGGAATGATTAGCCGATTAAAGCAGATTCCAGGTAACGCAACTCTTGGCCCATTTTCTCCTCATCCTGCCGTTTTGCATCTTGCATAGGTCGACGGCCATCCATGCATGGAACTGAAGGGGTGTTCGCTAGATTTATGTATGCTTTTCGCTCTGATTTGTTGAAGGTCCAAAGGCCAGCTTCAAAACTTAATCCTCCGTATCAGGCTTGTCGCACCCCATTCGGAGACCTGATATTATCCATGAGCTCCAGTTCCGTTTCCCTGACGTCCATCTGATTTGCGTTTCTTTTTAAAGATATCTGCATCATCTGACTTGGTGTGCTGAGATCTGTGTGCTTGAGCTTTACAGTCTTCGATGTCTGGCCATATCTCGTGTCACAGGCCTTCATATCCCTATCTTCTCGTCTCTCCTGCCTGCCACCTCCTCTCTTATCTTTGCAGGTCAGAGGGTATTGTAGAACTTCGGACCAATTCAATCCCCAACTTCCCGCGTTCTTCTAATCGAAAGCAACGGAGATGCAGAACCCGAACCAACACATGCAGTCGGACCAGGCCCACCAGCAGCAGTACCCACCCCATCCTCAGCATCCCCAGGGCCCTCCCTTGTCACAGCCACAACCCACCCTGCTTTCAGGCCCGCAGCAGCCGCCAAAGCACCTGGGCCCTTCTCAACAGATCCCTTTGTCGCAAGCCCTGGGGGCTCACCCCGGTCCGCCTCCCCACGGCATCCCCCCTCACCTCCTGCAGCAGCGGCATCTGCAGCAGTCCGCCCAGCCTCCCGTGCAGGCGCAGCAGCGGACAGTGCAACGACAGCAGCAGACGCTTCTCACCCAGCCGCAGCAGCAGCAGGGCCCTCTGTCACAGCCGCAGCATATGCAGAAGCAGCAGCCGTTGTCGCAGCAGCAGCATAAGCAGCAGAAGCACCTGGAGCACGCAGCGCAGCCCATGCAGCCGAAGCAGCAGGGTCCGCCGATGCAGCCTATGGCTCAGATGCAGCCGCAGCTGCAGGCGCAGTTGCTGCAGCGGCAGCAGCAGCAGCAACAGCAGCCGCAGGATCAGAGGCGGCAGCAGCCGATTCACCAGCAGGTCCCGCCTCACGCGCTTCAGCAGCAAGGGATGCACCCAGGCCAGCCTATGCACCAGCCACAGCGGCAGGTGCAGCAGTCCCCTGCTTTGGCGCCACGGCAGCAGTTAATGATGGCGCAGCAGCAGCAACAGCAACACGCGCCTTCAGCACTCATGCAGCCGCAGCAGTCGCAGCAGCAGCATCAGCAGCAGCAGGCGGGAGTCACAGCACAGAAACATCAGCAGCATCAGCAGCACCAGCAGCATCAGAGGCCCTTAGGCCAGATTCCCGCGCAGCAGCAGGTACTGATGGGGCAGCAGCAGGCAGCAGCGCACGGGCAGAAGCAGACGCAGCAGCAAGTTGTGTTGATGCAGCAGCCAAGTATGGGGCAGCAGAGACAGCTGAAGCCACAGCAACAGGCACAAGCGCCACATGCAGTATTGACGGGTACGCAGCATGCAGCGGCTGCTGCAGCGCAGCAGCAGCAGCAACAGCAGCAACAGCATCAGCAGCAGCAACAGCAACAGCAGCAACAGCAACAGCAACAGCAGCAGCAGCAGCAGCAGCAGCAACAGCAGCAGCAGCAGCAGCAGCAACAGCAACAGCAACAGCAGCTGCAGCAGCAGCAGCAGCAGCAGCAGCAGGGGGGTCGATTGACAACAAACGACGCATTGGCATATCTGAAGGCAGTGAAGGAACGGTTTCGAGACGAGAAGGACAAATACGACGAGTTCCTGGACGTCATGAAGAACTTCAAGGCGCAGCTGTCAGTCCGACCCACCATTCTGCCTCCGTTTTGTTTTGTTTGTTTTGTTTTGTTCTTTTTTGTAAAGAAAGTTCCACAATTCCCTGCTTTCTTCCTTGTCCGCGTCCCTTACCCTCTCTCTCGTCTCTCGCCTACCTTTTCCGTCCTGTCGCCCACCACCTCTTATCGTCCTTCTTTCACACGCTGCGTTTCTCTTCACTGCATGTGGTTGCTCCTGTGTGCCAGGATCGACACAGCAGGAGTGATAGCGCGTGTGAAGGAGCTCTTCGTGGGCCACAGGCAGCTCATCCTCGGCTTCAACACCTTCCTCCCCAAGGGATACGAAATCACCCTCCCACCCGAACCCACAACTCCGGTACCAGCCCCCGCGCCCGCACCCCCTCCTCAGCCTCGGTCCGCGCCTCCTGCGGTGGCTCGGGCGGTAATCACCCCATCCGTACCTGCAGGGCCTGTCCCATCTGTCGCTCCTGCTGGTGGTCCCCCGCTTATGCCTGGAGGAGCGGGTGCAGCGGCACCCCATGCACCAGTGCCAGTGCCCCATGGGGGGTCTATTAGTGGGGCTGCCGCGGCTACTCGCACTCCCCCCCTTCCTGCTGCTGCAGTGGGCGCAGGCGCAGGAGCAGGAGCAGGAGCAGGTGCAGTGGCAGCTGCTTCTGGTGCAGGTCATGCTGGGGGAGGTTCATCTGCTGCTGCTGCTGGTGCTGCTGGTGCTGTTGCTGCCGCTCCTGGTGGTGGTTCTCCTCCCAGTGCTCCTGCTGCTGCCCCTGGTGCTGCTGGTGCTGCTGCGACTGTGCCTGCAGCAGCAGCAGCAGCAGGGGGGGCAGGAGGAGCGGCGGGTGCAGCAGCTGCTCCGGCTGCGCGAAGCAAGATGGTGGAGTTCGACCAAGCCATCAGCTACGTCAACAAGATCAAGGTACGGTCACAGCAACGTTTGAGTCGACTCCATAGTCACCTCGAAGCAGGAGGGTGGAGTTGGACCAAGCCATCAGCTACGTGAACAAGATCAAGGTACGGTCACAGTGACGTGCGTACAAGCAGGTGTTGGGCCATCTATAACGGATTTCACATGAACACATGTTACAGTGACAATGCTGCCTTTCGCCCATGTGCTCTTTCTTCTCCAGATCCGATTTGCTGATGATGATTCGGTGCACAAGAGCTTCCTTGAGATCCCCAACATGTACCATGCATGACCAATGCGTGCTCTCTCCCCCCGTGCTCTATTCTTTCTGACTGCCTCAGGCCCGCTTTGCTGACGATGAGTCGGTGTACAAGAGCTTTCTGGAGATCCTCAACATGTACCGCAAGGGCAACAACAACATCGTGGACGTGTACAAGGAGGTCAGTCAGTGCCCACTTGCTGTGCGACTTGTGTGTACCATATGATCCCAGCTGATCCCAGCTGATCCCAGCTGATCCCATCTGATGCCATCTGATGCCATCTGATCCCATCTGATCCCATCTGATCCCGTTGTGCCTTTCCTCGGATCTGCTGGAGGAGTTCACCTTCTTCCTGCCGGACTCTGCTGCGATTCATGCTTGAGTCGACTCTAAGGAGGGCCATGCCTCCCTTATCCCCCCTACATCCACACCCACTCTCTCAGGTGGCTACGCTCTTCAAGGACCACTCAGATCTGCTGGAGGAGTTCACCTTCTTCCTGCCGGACTCTGCTGCCAGCCATTTGCCCCAGTGGCGCGGGGTGGGCCCCCCACCTCCTGGCACCGTTGCTGCGCCTGGTGGTGGTGCTGCTGCTGGCAGTGCTGCTGCTGCTGGCAGTGCTGCTGCTGCTGGCGGCGCGGCTGGCGCAACAGCAGTAGCAGGAGCACGGCCGGGTGTGGGTGCTGGTGCTGGTGAAGCAGCAGCTGCTGCTACGGTTGCTGCCACAGTTGGTGGGGTTGCTGCTGCTGCTCCAGCTGGTGCAGCAGCAGCTGGTGGCCGGGCGGAGAAGGGCAAGGTGCGTTGCGTTGGTCAGGTGCCAGCACCTCGTCTGTCTTGTCTTGCTGTTCCCCCTCCTGGCTTGCTGTCCCATTCCCTCCCTCATGGTCTTAGCAGGAATTCCGTAACTTCTTCTTCCTTCTCCTTGCTGCCTTTCTTGTCGCAACACCTCTTCGTTTTAATGTTGCGTTTTCTTGCCGTAGCACTCTAGCACTCTCTACTACATCCTGCGTTCCATGCTTCCTCACTACCTAGCCCTCCTGCCCCCTCACCGTCGCCTGTATCCGTCCCTCCATGCACAGAAGGACAAGGACGGAGAGCACACAGAGAGGAGGCGCAAGGGGGCAGAGGGTCGGGGCAAGGAGAAGGAGGCAGAGGGGCGAGGAAAGGTGAAGGAGGAGGTGGATGAAGACACGTCCGCACAGCAGCAGCACAAGCGCCTCCAGCAGCAGCAGCAGCAGCAGCAGCAGCAGCATGGGGATGCAGCACAACCGCATCTGCACCACGCCCAGCAAGCAGCGGGGGCTGGGGGTTTGCAGCAGGGGGGCGAGGAGGGCACGCACAGGAAGCCGCTGATGCTGGACCTGCAGAAGCCCCCGCGGGAGGTAGAGCAGCAGGTGGAGGAGAAGCGGGCTGGGCTGGCGCTGCCTCAGCCCATGCAGGTGGATGGGAAAGAGGGGCACAAGGAGTGGAGCCAGCAGCAGCAGCAGGAGGGGGTGGGGGTGGGGGTGGCGCATGCTGTGGTGCAGCCGGCGCAGCAGCCGAAGCGGAAGGGGCGGAAAGGGGAGGAAGGGGGGAAGAAGAAGGAGCAGGGGGGAGGGGCGGCAGCTGAGGGGCCAGCCGATGAGAGGAAAGGGAGCAGGGGTGAGTGGCGCTACTGGGTAATTCAATGCAGAGAGATTGGTTGGTGGGGTTAAAAAATATTTATGTGCTTGGTAGTACATGTACTCTCTCTCAAGTGGTTTCTCTCATTGATACTCTCTCTTGCCATCTTTCCTCCTTCCCCCTATCTCCCCGCCCCCACCCCTCAACCTCTTCCTCCTTCCCCCTATCTCCCCGCCCGCCCCCCACCCCTCAACCTCTTCCTCCTTCCCCCTATCTCCCCGCCCGCCCCCCACCCCTCAACCTCTTCCTCCTTCCCCCTATCTCCCCGCCCGCCCCCCACCCCTCAACCTCTTCCTCCTTCCCGCTTCTGTAGCCCTTGGCATTGCACCGGGAGCTGGTATCCTTTGAGTGGGTGAAGGCGCGGAGGCACTAACAGCTTTTCTCTCTTCCACCTCTCCATCCCTCCCATCCACCTTCCCCACTCACTTCCCCCTCCCTCCAACCGCCTTGTAGCCCTGGGAATGCACCGCGAGCTGGCGTTCTTTGAGCGGGTGAAGGCGCGGGTGCGCAGCCGGGAGGTGTACCAGGAGTTCCTCAAGTGCCTCAACATCTTCAGCCAGGAGATCATCGCCCGCGCCGAGCTGCAGAGCCTCGTGGGGGACATCCTCGCCAAGCACCCCGACCTCGTCGAGGGCTTTAACGAGTTTCTAGCTCGGTGTGAAAACCTCGGTGAGTGTTCCTTCGTCAGTGTAGTTTTAAGCGTCTGAGAGTCTTGTGGGGGACATCCTGGCCAAGCACCCCGGCCTCGTCGAGGGCTTTAATGTGTGCCTTGCTCGGTGTGAAAATCTCGGTGAGTTGTGATTCTGCTGTGCTATGTGTCGAGACAACTGAGAGCCTCGTGGGGGACATCCTCGCCGAGCACCCCGACCTTGTGGAGGGGTTTAATGAGTTTCTGGCGCAAGGTGGAAATTTGGTTGAGTTGCTGTTCCGCAGCGTGTTGGGAGTGTTCGATTAGGTTTTTGGGTTGGACGCAGAGACGCTGGCATCTACGTATGTAGGGTGAATGCACGTGTGACTTTGAGTCGACTCAAAAGTCACCTCATCTACGTATGTAGGGTGAATGCACGGGTCAGGCCATGCGTTTTTCTTGTTTCTCGCACATATGTTGTCTTGTGCCACATGCGTCTTCTGACTTACATATCTTGTTTGGCATGTATGTGTTTTGGGCCTCTTGTTACTTCAGACTTCGAGACGCTGGAGTCAGCAGGTGGAGGGGCAAGGGTGAAGGTGGAGGAGGAGGAGAGGAAGGAGGCTGGGGAGAAGGAGAGGGAGCACGAGAGGGCTGAGACCAAGGAGAGGGAGAGGAAGGAGGTGGGGGAGCGCGAGCGGGAGAAGGAGAAGGAGCGAGAGAGGAAGAAGGATAGAGAGAGGGAGCGGGTGAAGGACCATGGACGCGTGGAGAAGGAGGCAGAGGAGCGGGAGAGGGAGGAGCGGGAGAGGGAGGAGAGAGAAAGGGAGGAGAAGGAGAGAGTTAAGGAGAGGGAGAGGGAGGAGCGGGAGCGGGAGCGGGAGCGGGAGAGGGAACGGGAGAGGGAGCGGGAGAGGGAGAAGGAGAGGGAGGCGAAGGAGCGGGAGCGGGAGCGGGAGGCAAGGGAGAAGGAGAAAGAGCGCGCAGCGGCAGCAGCGGCGGTAGCAGCAGCAGCCAAGTCAGTGGTAGTGAGGAAGGAGCAAGTGCAGTACAAGTCGATCTGCGAAATGGATTTGTCGGCGGCTGAACGATGCTCCCCCAGTTACCGCCTCCTCCCCAAACCAGTGAGAGCTCCACTGACCCCAGCGGTTCCTTCCTTCCCCCCTTTCCTTGGTTCTCTCCTACACAAATGCACACACGCACGACCCTCCCCCACACACGCCCTCATTGCCCTTTTCATTTGGATGTCGCAGTCAAGAGAATCTCGCTTCGTCTGTTCTCACTTGTGTGGCTCGTTCTCCTGCCCCCTCCCGGCTTCCCCGCTGCTGTAGCAAATGCGACCCGTTGCGTGCCACCACACGGAGCTGGGAATGACTGTGCTCAATTCTGTGTGGGTGCCAGTGACATCTGAATCAACCCACACGGCATCAGATGTCAGATGCACCCACTTGTGTGGCTCGTGCTCCTGACATCTGAAGCAACCCATGATCGAATTGTCCCCCCCCCCTCCTAACACATTCCCCCCTCTCCTCCTCCCCCCTCCCCCCCCTTCCCCCCACCCATCCACCAGCAAATGCGGCCCGTGTCGTGCCATCGCACTGAGCTGGGAATGAAGGTGCTCAACGACGTGTGGGTGTCGGTAACCTCGGGCAGCGAGGACTACTCGTTCACTCACATGCGCAAGAACCAGTACGAGGAGTCACTCTTCCGTTGCGAGGACGACCGGTCAGTGCTGCGTCACCCGTGCCACCCATGCCATGCCCCCTGCGACCTGTCCTCACCACTCCTTCACTCACGTGCGGAAGCACCCGTACAAGGAGTCGCTCCTCTGCTGCGAGGACGACTGGCGAGGACTGCTTCCTTCTTGCGTGTTTTCTCTTCAGCCTCAAGCAGGATATGCTTCTTGAGTCAGCAGCAGTCACGGCTCATGCCGTGCCATGAGCGCCCCTTTCTCCTGTCCGCTTCCCCTCCAGCCGTTTTCCCCATGCCGTTTCTTCCCTGCCCCTGTCCCTGCTTCTCGCTGTCAGCTTCGAGCTGGACATGCTGCTTGAGTCCACGGCAGTGACGGCCCGGCGGGTGCAGGAGGTGATAGACCGCATGCACGGGATGTCGGACGCGGAGCGGGGCGGCTTCAGGGTTGAGGAGAATCTGACCGGTGAGAGGGGTTATGGTGACTGACAGGTGAAAGGGGTTTTTCTCATCTTTTAACTACCTTTGCTTCCTTTCGGAAAGTCTTCAAAACCAAGATCACTCGCCGTTCCAGCCCCTCTACTCCCTCCCCCGAGCCATCAACAGGCAGTGCATCGAGCGCATATATGGCAACCATGGGCTGAACAGTCAATAGCTAGTGAAGCGTGCACACCAGTTGTCTTTTCCTTTTCCCTTTGTCGTAGAACCAAATCATTCCGACCAACCCCCTTTCCCCCCCCCCCCAGCCATCAACATGCGGTGCATCTAACGCATCTACGGCGACCACGGGCTGGACATCCAGGAGCTGGTGAAACGCACCCTTGTTCATTCGGCTCATCCCGTGACCCCTTCTCCCCCCACCCACCGCCTCCCTTCCCCAATCGCCAGCCATCAACATGCGGTGCATCGAGCGCATCGACGGCGACCACGGGGTGGACATCCAGGAGGTGGTGAAGCGCACGCCAGTTGTGGCGCTGCCGGTGGTGCTGCAGGGGCTGAAGCAGGAGCAGGAGGAGTGGGTGCGGTGCTATTCTTCCCTCAGTCCGTTGACACCCCAACCCCACGGTTCCCCTCTACTCCCCTTCCCCCCCCCCTCTCCTTCCTCCCCCCCGTCCCCCCGGCCCTGCCCTGCCCCCCAATCCAGCCATCAACATGCGGTGCATCGAGCGCATCTACGGCGACCATGGGCTCGACATTCAAGAGCTGGTGAAGCGCACACCAGCAGTGGCGCTTCCGGTGGTGCTGCAGCGGCTGAAGCAGAAGCACGAGGAGTGGGTGCGGTGCCGGGCTGAGATGAACCGCGTGTGGGCGGACGTGTACGCCAAAAATTATGCCAAGTCGCTGGACCACCGCAGCTTCTACTTCAAGCAGCAGGACAAGAAGAGCCTCAGCATGAAAGGTGAGAGGGGTGGGTCCAGTGACTATCTCTACTAGTGAAGGTCTCCAACTGGAGGTCCAGCTGGACAAGAAGAGCCTCAGCATGAAAGGTGGGAGGATGGGAGGAGAACTATCTCTAGTAAAGGTCTCCAACTGGAGGTCCAGCTGGACAAGAAGAGCCTCAGCATGAAAGGTGGGAGGATGGGAGGAGAACTATCTCTAGTAAAGGTCTCCAACTGGAGGTCCAGCTGGACAAGAAGAGCCTCAGCATGAAAGGTGGGAGGATGGGAGGAGAACTATCTCTAGTAAAGGTCTCCAACTGGAGGTCCAGCTGGACAAGAAGAGCCTCAGCATGAAAGGTGGGAGGATGGGAGGAGAACTATCTCTAGTAAAGGTCTCCAACTGGAGGTCCAGCTGGACAAGAAGAGCCTCAGCATGAAAGGTGGGAGGATGGGAGGAGAACTATCTCTAGTAAAGGTCTCCAACTGGAGGTCCAGCTGGACAAGAAGAGCCTCAGCATGAAAGGTGGGAGGATGGGAGGAGAACTATCTCTAGTAAAGGTCTCCAACTGGAGGTCCAGCTGGACAAGAAGAGCCTCAGCATGAAAGGTGGGAGGATGGGAGGAGAACTATCTCTAGTAAAGGTCTCCAACTGGAGGTCCAGCTGGACAAGAAGAGCCTCAGCATGAAAGGTGGGAGGATGGGAGGAGAACTATCTCTAGTAAAGGTCTCCAACTGGAGGTCCAGCTGGACAAGAAGAGCCTCAGCATGAAAGGTGGGAGGATGGGAGGAGAACTATCTCTAGTAAAGGTCTCCAACTGGAGGTCCAGCTGGACAAGAAGAGCCTCAGCATGAAAGGTGGGAGGATGGGAGGAGAACTATCTCTAGTAAAGGTCTCCAACTGGAGGTCCAGCTGGACAAGAAGAGCCTCAGCATGAAAGGTGGGAGGATGGGAGGAGAACTATCTCTAGTAAAGGTCTCCAACTGGAGGTCCAGCTGGACAAGAAGAGCCTCAGCATGAAAGGTGGGAGGATGGGAGGAGAACTATCTCTAGTAAAGGTCTCCAACTGGAGGTCCAGCTGGACAAGAAGAGCCTCAGCATGAAAGGTGGGAGGATGGGAGGAGAACTATCTCTAGTAAAGGTCTCCAACTGGAGGTCCAGCTGGACAAGAAGAGCCTCAGCATGAAAGGTGGGAGGATGGGAGGAGAACTATCTCTAGTAAAGGTCTCCAACTGGAGGTCCAGCTGGACAAGAAGAGCCTCAGCATGAAAGGTGGGAGGATGGGAGGAGAACTATCTCTAGTAAAGGTCTCCAACTGGAGGTCCAGCTGGACAAGAAGAGCCTCAGCATGAAAGGTGGGAGGATGGGAGGAGAACTATCTCTAGTAAAGGTCTCCAACTGGAGGTCCAGCTGGACAAGAAGAGCCTCAGCATGAAAGGTGGGAGGATGGGAGGAGAACTATCTCTAGTAAAGGTCTCCAACTGGAGGTCCAGCTGGACAAGAAGAGCCTCAGCATGAAAGGTGGGAGGATGGGAGGAGAACTATCTCTAGTAAAGGTCTCCAACTGGAGGTCCAGCTGGACAAGAAGAGCCTCAGCATGAAAGGTGGGAGGATGGGAGGAGAACTATCTCTAGTAAAGGTCTCCAACTGGAGGTCCAGCTGGACAAGAAGAGCCTCAGCATGAAAGGTGGGAGGATGGGAGGAGAACTATCTCTAGTAAAGGTCTCCAACTGGAGGTCCAGCTGGACAAGAAGAGCCTCAGCATGAAAGGTGGGAGGATGGGAGGAGAACTATCTCTAGTAAAGGTCTCCAACTGGAGGTCCAGCTGGACAAGAAGAGCCTCAGCATGAAAGGTGGGAGGATGGGAGGAGAACTATCTCTAGTAAAGGTCTCCAACTGGAGGTCCAGCTGGACAAGAAGAGCCTCAGCATGAAAGGTGGGAGGATGGGAGGAGAACTATCTCTAGTAAAGGTCTCCAACTGATCAGCAGCAGCTGATCCCACGTAATGCCCGCTCATCGCTTCTTTGGCGGCTCACACTGTTTTCCCCCCGGTCTCCCCCCCCCCCCCCTTTCCACAGGTTTGCTGTCTGAGATCCGCGAGCTCAAGGAGCAGAAGCACAAGCTGGACGAGGTGGTGGCGTCACTAGCTTTTCCCACACATGGCCTCTGAGGCGACTCAACACTGCTTTTCTCACATCCCTTCCCCCCCCCCCCCCCCCCCCGCTCCCCCCCCACAGGTCTTCTATCTGAGATTCGCGAGCTGAATGAGCAGAAACACAAGCAGGACGAGGTAGTAGCCGCACTAGCTGTTCCCACTCGCCGCCCGCTCATCCCCGACATCCGGATGGCGTACAGTGACTCTGCCATCCACGAGGATCTGCACGAAATCATCAAGTTTTCGACGGAGGAGGTTTGTAACTCGCCCGAGCAGTCGGCTAAAGTTATGAAGCTGTGGACGGGTTTCATTGAAATGTTTTTGAACGCGCCCTCGGTCTGGTCGAAATTTGTCGCCGAGGAGAAAGCTGCCCGGGACGCGGAGAATGCTGCCTGCGAAGCAGCGAGGGCTGCCCGGGGTGGGTCGGGGGCAGGAGGGCGCGATGGGGAGGGGAATGGGGAGTCTGTGGGGGGGAGGGGGGAAAGGAGGAAGGGGAGGGGAAGGAGAAGGGCAGGGAGAAGGGAAGGGGTGGGGAGGAGAGGAAGCGGGAGAGGCAAGGGGGGGATGGGGAAGGGCAGAGGAAGAGAGGGCGGCATGAGGTGGATGATGACGGGGCTGGTGGTGCGAGTGAGGGGCAAAAATCAGGGGGTAGGGAGGCGGGGTCAGATGGGCTGGAGGAAGGCGAATTCGCCCCAGGGGGTAAAGCAGCAGAGCAAGCAGGAGGGGGAGGGGGAGGGGGAGGGGGAGGGGGAGAGGAGGAAGAGCCGCATGTGGTGAGGAAGAGTAGGAGCAGCTTGGTGCACGTGGGGGGAGTGGGCGGCGGGGGGAATGGAGGGGGAGGAGGGGCGGGGGGGATGGGGAATGGAGCAGCACAAGGGGCAGCAGGTGCGGGAGGGGCGGGCGGGAAGGGCAAGGATGCTAGTTCTCGTGCTGCGGCTGCTGCTGCTGCTGCCTCGGCTGCTGCGGCAGCAGCAGCTAAGAGACGAAAGAGGGGGAGGAGGGAGAGGGAGGAGGGGGAGGACGAGAGCATGAGGTCTGAGGGGTCAAGTGCAGAAACTGATAGCGCTGGGGAGGAGAAGAGGAGGCAGAGGAGGAGGAGAAGGGGGAGTGAGGGGCGGGATGAGGAGGAGGAGGAGGGGAGAGGGGAGGAGGACGAGGACGAGGAGGCAGAGGACAGGGAGAGTGGAGGGGAGATGGGAGAGGAGGGTGGGGAAGGGGGCGAGGAGGAGGAGGAGGAAGAGGAGGGGGGGAGAGGGTGGATATCGGGTCTGGGCCCCAAGGAGCGGCAGCACAGGGGCAAGAAAAAGTGGGGGCGGCACTGGCACAAGGCTTGCCGCCCCGTGGTGGCGCATAGGGAGTCGTTTGAAGCAGCACGCATAGGAGGAGGTGGGATGCAGTTAGCAGTGACAGCAGCTGCAATCGAGGGAGTGGGAGGGAGGGGAGGAGATTTAGTGGCAGGGGCAGGGGGAGAGGGGGGGAGAGGGAGGAAGGGGAAAGGGCGGGCAGAGGTGACAGTGGAGGGAGAAGGGAGGGAGACGGAGAAGGAAACGGAGAAGGAAACGGAGGAGAGGGAGAAGGAGAGGGAGAGGGAGAGGGAAAAGGAGAGGGAGTTATCGGAGGAGTTGTGGAGCAAAACGCAGGCGGAGGCGGGAGCGAGGCGTGTGATGTATGGCAACGACACCATGTACATGCTGTTCAGACTGCACCATGTGAGTATAGCGAGCAACTCTATATCGAGTATAGCTGAGATGTGCACATGCCCAAGATGTAGAGTGGTGCCGATGATTGCAGGCTCCTTTTGAGGCGCCTCAAAAGTCAAATGCAGGCTCGGAGGCAGGGTTTTCGTATAGTTTTCTACAGAATGTAGTCCTACATGCCTGCGAGTGAGAGGCCCTGTTATGCCTCCCATACCTTTCCAACACTTCACTGCCTGTTCCTCCCTGACTCTGACTCGTTCGTTCCCCTTTCCTCCTCCATATCTTCCACTTTCTTTCTCTGCCATTTCACTGTCGGCGCTCTCCCCTCCCCCCCCCGCTTCTCTCCCCTCTTCCCCCCACACCCCCTCCTCCCCCCCACCCCCTCCGTTTTCCTGCTCTCAACCCCGTCAGAGTCTCGACGAGCGCACCCTGAGTGCCAAGGTAAATTTTGAGTCGACTCAAAATTACCCCCCCCCCCCCCTCCCCCCTCCCGCGCTCTCAACCCCGCCAGACTCTCTACGAGCGTATTCTGAGTGCCAAGGTCAACGCCCGAGCCTCAGAGGAGAAATACCGCGCTCTCAACCACTCAGACCCGCCTGACCTCTACGCCAGGTGAGTGTACCGTGAGGCAACTATTTTTGAGGCGCCTCAAAAATCAACCACTCAGACTCGCCTGACCTCTGCCAAGTGAGTGCATCATGAGGCATCTTAAGGCCTCTGTATGGCAGGCAGTTTTCTATGTGTCCATTAGCACAGGTGAACTGTGATGTGTCCCAATCCATTCGCATGCTATCAGCGTGCTTGCCGTGGCCATGCTATAGCTGTTGCCCCTGGCCTCTCCGTTCCTGTGTTTTGATCGTGCTCCTTGCGCTACTCAGGTTCTCTTAGAGGTGCTCTAGAACCTGCTGGACGGGCCCAGCAGGGGTTACTGTCTCGGGGCTTCTGTCTCTTCAACTGCATGCCCTCTGCTCTGACTTCGCCCTTTCTATCGAGCAGGTTCTTAGAGGTGCTGTACAACCTGCTGGACGGGCAGAGGAGGGGTTATCCTACGCATATTGGATTTGGTCTGCTTGCCTTTCCTCCATCTTGCCCCTGCAACCGAGCAGGTTCCTGGAGGTGCTGTACAACCTGCTGGACGGGCAGATCGACAACACACGGTTTGAGGATGAGTGCCGAGCCGCCATCGGCACCCAGTCCTACGTGCTTTTCACCATTGACAAGCTCATCTACCGGCTGGTGAAACAGGTGCGTTGTGACTCCCTCATGCTACTCCCTCGTGCTACTCCCTCATGCTACTCCCTCGTGCTACTCCCTCGTGCTACTCCCTCATGCTACTCCCTCGTGCTACTCTCCTACTCCCTCGTGCTACTCCCTCATGCTACTCCCTCGTGCTACTCCCTCGTGCTACTCCCTCGTGCTACTCCCTCATGCTACTCCCTCGTGCTACTCCCTCATGCTACTCCCTCATGCTACTCCCTCGTGCTACTCCCTCGTGCTACTCCCTCATGCTACTCCCTCGTGCTACTCCCTCGTGCTACTCCCTCGTGCTACTCCCTCATGCTACTCCCTCGTGCTACTCCCTCATGCTACTCCCTCGTGCTACTCCCTCGTGCTACTCCCTCATGCTACTCCCTCGTGCTACTCCCTCGTGCTACTCCCTCATGCTACTCCCTCGTGCTACTCCCTCGTGCTACTCCCTCATGCTACTCCCTCGTGCTACTCCCCTCATGCTACTCCCTCTGCTACTCCCCTGCTACTCCCTCATGCTACTCCCTCGTGCTACTCCCTCATGCTACTCCCTCGTGCTACTCCCTCGTGCTACTCCCTCATGCTACTCCCTCGTGCTACTCCCTCGTGCTACTCCCTCATGCTACTCCCTCGTGCTACTCCCTCGTGCTACTCCCTCATGCTACTCCCTCGTGCTACTCCCTCATGCTACTCCCTCATGCTACTCCCTCATGCGACTCCCTCATGCAGCGTGTGCGGGCGACAAGGTGGGGGCGAAGCTGCAGCAGCTGCACGAGTACGAAGTGGCCAAGGGGGCGGGCAGACTCTCTTTCCCCACTCATGCTTTTTACCTCTCCCCATCATCTCCCCTTCCCCCTCCCCCCCCGTCCCCAAGCAGCTGCAAGCGTGTGCGGGCGACGAGGTGGGGGCGAAGCTGCAGCAGCTGCACAAGTACGAGGTGGCCAGGGGGGCGGGCACCCTGTTATTCTCACTACCCTCTCATGCCTATCTTCCTCCCCTTCCTCCCTGCCCCCACCCCAACCATCTCCCCTCCCCCCGTCCCCAACAGCTGCAAGCGTGTGCAGGTGACGAGGTGGGCGCCAAGCTGCAGCAGGTGCACGGGTACGAGGTGGCCAAGAGGGGGCGCATGCTCTCATGCCCCCTGCATGCTTCTTACCTCTCCCCCTCATCTCTTTTCCCCCCCTTCCCCCCGCCCTCGCTCTCTACAGCTGCAAGCATGCGCGGGCGACGAGGTGGGCGCCAAGCTGCAGCAGCTGCACGAGTACGAGGTGGCCAAGGGGGCGGGCGGCTATGTGGACATGGTGTATCAGGCCAACGCTTGTGCGCTCATGCACGACGACTCCTTATACAGGATTGAACTGGTGAGTGCGGTGTGTGATGTGAAGCAACCAGGGAAGGGGCGGGCGGCTATGTGGACATGGTGTATCAGGCCAACGCTTGCGCGCTCATGCACGACGACTTGCTTTATAGAATTGAGCGCGAGAGTGTGATGAGGGGGGGGGGGGTGGTGGAGGGGGGTAGTGTGGTAGGGGGGTAATGAGCCGGGGTTGTGATGGGGGTCGTGAGGGGGGGATCGTGAGCCGAGGAAGCAGAGTGGCACAGTTATGCATATTGTCCTGGGGAAGCCAAGTGTCCCGGGGAAGCCTAGTGCCCCGGGGAAGCCTAGTGCCCCGGGGAAGCCTAGTGCCCTGGGGAAGCCTAGTGCCCCGGGGAAGCCTAGTGCCCCGGGGAAGCCTAGTGCCCCGGGGAAGCCTAGTGCCCCGGGGAATAGCCAGGCAAGGGCATGCTGGCGGCGCAGCTGATGGATTGCTGTGACCAGCCAGTGGCGCACTCTCCCCCCCGTCCTCGCCCCACTATCCCTCCTAACCCACCTGACGTCCTCCTCTCCCCCCTCACTCTCCTTGCCCCCACCACAGCTCGCACAGCAACCAGGCGAGGGCGTGCTGACAGTGCAGCTGATGGAGGGCGGGCCGGAGAAGGTGGAGGTGCCGGCAGCAGCCATGGAGTCGGCGTTCCTCGAGTACCTCTGGCACTTCCTGCACTCGCCACCCGCGCATGCGACCGACCGCGCCCACGTCTTCCTTGCCAGGCATTTTTCCCTCTCCATGCGTAGCCCTCCCTCCTGTTGGTAACAGCTATTTTTAGGCTTTAAGTCTCCCACGCTCATGCAATGTGTTGCAATTTTGATCTTGCAAGCATTCGATCGTGCTCGGATGCCATCATGGAATCGCACTGCTGCATTGCCATGGCTCATGTCCTCCTGCGGTTGCATGGTCTGAACCGCATGTGTGGGATGGTGCATGTGTGCAATGCTGCATGTGTGTGCCACAGGAATGTGAGAAAGGCGTCATCATCAACATCCAAGAGGGGCCGCAGCAAGGAGGACGAGGAGAGGGCTGCTCTGGAGAGCGTGCTTATACTGAATGGGCTCGAGTGCAAGCTCTCCTGTGTCACCTCCAAGGTAACCCCAAGTCCTGTTCGCCTTCCATGATCCCCGCATCCAGTTGCCCTGCCAACACCCCTCCCCTCCCCATCATCCCCAGCGCATTATATTCCCCGCCACGAGCTGAATCATGTTTTGAGGCGCCTCAAAACTACCCTCCCCATCATCCCCAGAGCACTATATTCCCCGCCACAAGCTGAATCATGTCCACCCTATCGCTCATGCTACTACTGTCTGCACCCCTCTCAGGTCTCGTATGTCCTGGACACAGAGGACTATCTCCTCCGCCACAAGAGGTATCTATATTTCAGGCGCCAAAAGAAAGGCTCCTCATGAATGACTGCTCCGCTTCCCTCCTGCTCCCCCTCGCCCACAGGTCTCCTATGTCCTGGACACAGAGGACTATCTCCTCCGCCACAAGAAGAAGCGACAACCCAAGAGTGCAGCTCAAGCACTCTCCCACAAGGCGCAGGGGACAGGTGGCACGCAGGGATTGGCCGACCGCTCACAGAGGGCAGCCAGGCGGTTACGGCGTTACCAGCAGTGGATCTCTGCTGGAGTGCCCCCGGCCTCGTCCTCTTGAGGGGTTTACCCTGCCTAAGTTAAACAGGCGGCTGGTGGAAGCATGTAAGTGTCGGTCAGTTTCTTTCACAATCATTGCCACCCCTCCTTTTTTACCTTCTCTTTGCACTTCCTCTGCCTTCCCTTTGCCCCCGCATGGTTCCATGTTGATGCTTCATCATGTGCTCTCTTTCAAATGAAGCTGGTTGCTTGTCGTCTTACCGTAGTTTTCTTCTCTCCTTTCCTGTGTGTGCCTTTGCTTCCTGTCATGCAGACCTCCTTACTGTTGCTCCTCTCAGCACATAAGGTTGAATGGGTGGGGTGTGCTGCAATAGAAGAAATTGCCAAGAGTTATTAGGCCTTCGCTTGGCAGAAAAGGCACAGGGGCCCGTTATCAGGAGCCACTGCATTTTGTGGCCCTAAATTAGCCCTTAGAATTATAACCTCGTGTGACTTTAAGTTCTTTCGGTGCTGTGATGATTGCACTTGTGTCAGTTGAGTTTTCACTTTTCTGCGCCTGCTGAATGCAGCATGGGATGGGATGGGATGGGATGTTATTCGTGGTGTATTAGGTTGGCAAGAGAAACTTACCCTGTATTTGCGAAGTTGGCAAAGCATGATGGTGCTAGCCTGGTTCACGCACGGTTCGGTACTAAACGGTTCAGCTACTACCCATCCCCGAAACCCTTCTTCCTCAGTTACTGCCACTCCCTCGCCGTTATTTCAGGACGTAAGCAGAGTCCGCCCCAGAAAGTTCACCCGTAGACCGCAGAATACCCCAACGGCCGCTTCTCGCTGTCGTTATCGAAGCAACCGCTCTAGTAGCAAAGCAAATCCCCCTGATTCGCGCCGATGGCGGCGGCGGCGGCGTCCGCGGCCCTGGGCGATCTGCTGCTGCTTCAGGGGCAGGCGAAGCGCGATCCGGAAGGATACCGCGAGGAGTTCGAGCGGCAGCACCGCCACTACCGCGCGCTGCTGTCCGTGTTCTCGTTAAAGCCCCATGCGGAGAGCAAAGAGTTCGGCGACCTCGTGATGTTCCTCGCGCAGGTGGGTTTTAAGTTCAAGACGCCTGAACAGCCAACATGAATTGCCACCGCAGGTAGCGCGAGCGAGGAGTTCGAGCGGCAGCACCGCCACCACCGCGCGCCGCTATTAGCGTTCTCGTTGAAACCTCATGCGGGCTTTAAGGGGCTCGGCGACCTCGTGATAATCCTCGCGCAGGTGAGGGAGCGCGGGGGACGCAGGTGGATTTTGAGGGGGCGCGGGGGACAGAGATATTGCCTCAGGTAGAGATATTGGCTTGCGCGAGGGTTGGGGTTTTAACAGGTGGAGATATTGGCTTGCGCGAGGGTTGGGGTTTTAACAGAATTAGGGTTGGTGACTTCGGCGTGGACACGCGTTCGGGAAGCAGCTTTAGGAGAAGCGGCGATCAGCGTATGCGTTAGGGGGAGTGAAGGTTAAGCGTGTCAACGTTTAGGGGTTTGGGGGTAAGGGTTTTATTCCAGACGCGTAGACCAAAATTAGGGTTTTCTCTTTTTTCGAGGTGGCGTGTACCCATCTGAGTCGATTCACTTACAATTTTTGAGGCGCCTAAAAAATTGAGTCGATTCACTCACAGCTCAGCACTTCTCTACCTAAACCCTCGCCCGGCACCTCCCACCCCTCCCCCCGTCGCTGCCCGCCACTCCCTCCTCCCCTCCCTTCCCGCCTATCTTACGACACCCTTGCCACTCTCCTTCCGTCATGGGGGGACTCTCATTCCTCCCCGGTTTCTCTGCCTTTCTTTTTGCCCACCACTCCTTCTCCTCGCCCTCCCTCCCCACACCCCGACTTTCTCCGTTCTCTTTGCTTCCAGCTAGCCCCCTCATACCGCAGTGGCCGGGTTCCGATCCAATAGCTGTCACACTTGCAAGACTTTCAGGCCTCCAGCCCCCACCTCGTGTCTCCCCGCCACCTCTACACCCCCTCCCCCCATCTGCCCCCCCTCTCCCCACCTCTCCCCCCCCTCTCAACCCCTCTCCCCCCCTCTCAACCCTCTCCCCCCTCTCCCTCCATCTCCCCCCTTCTTCCCTCTCTCCTCCCCTATCCCCGCCCCCCTTCTCCATCTCGCCCCGTTCGATTCCCAGGCGAGGTGAGGCGCGGCTGCAGTGCACGCGCCCGCATGGATTGCCCCATCCCCAACTTCTGTTCCCAACCCTAACCCCCCACCCCTCCGCGCTATCACCCCCTCACCCCCCACAGCTCGCCCCGTTCTACCGCGCTGCCATGGCGGGGTTCCCAGGCGAGGTGATGGCGCTGCTGCAGTCCCACGTGGACGTGCTGCACCCAATGCTGCGCCGCCAGCTGGCGCACGCGCTCATCCTGCTGCGCAACCGCCAGGTACTTGCTTCGCTCCACAAATTTCGTCATGCCCCCTGTTGCGCCCCGAGTGTGAATCCACCCTAAACCCCAAAACCCTTCACGTGCTCCTTCCTCACATCCTGCCTTACAAGACCTTGCCGCACCAGGCCTTGTGTGCCATGCTGTGCTATGTGCTTCCTGCCACATCCTTCCTTCCTCCCATCCGTTTCCTGTCAGCAACGAGGCCCCAGGGGACCGCATCCCTCACTTATTCCACCTCTTCCTCTGTCGCTCCCCTAACCCTTTTCCTTTCCCCGCCCTCCGTCCCCACCTCCCCCTCCCATAGTTCCCTCAGCTGCTGGGCCCCACGGATTTGATTTAATTCTTCCGCCTCTTCCGCTGCCCCTCCTCCGTTTCTCCTCCCCCCGGCTTCTCCCCTCCCCTTCCCCTCACTTATTCTCCCAGCTGCTGGCCCCCACGGACCTCATTTCGCACTTCTTCCGCCTCTCCCTCTGTCTCTCCCCCAACCCCTCGTCTTCCCCCGCCCTCCGTCCCCACGCCCCCTCCCATCGATTTCCTTCAGCTGCTGGGCCCAACCGACCTCATTCCACACTTCTTCCGCCTGTTCCGCTGCCCGACAAGGCGCTGCGCAAGCTGGTGTTCTCGCACATCGTGAATGATATCAGGAGGCTCAACCAGAAGCACCGGAACGAGGGGGTCAACCGACCCATTCAAAACATGCTCTTTTCGCTGGTTCAGGCATCAGGTACAGTTCCTGATTCAGGTACAGTTCCTTGATTCAGGTACAGTTCCTTGATTCAGGTACAGTTCCTTGATTCAGGTACAGTTCCTTGATTCAGGTACAGTTCCTTGATTCAGGGACAGTTCCTTGATTCAGGTAACAGTTCCTTGATTCAGGTACAGTTCCTTGATTCAGGTACAGTTCCTTGATTCAGGTACAGTTCCTTGATTCAGGGTACAGTTCCTTGATTCAGGTACAGTTCCTTGATTCAGGGACAGTTCCTTGATTCAGGGTACAGTTCCTTGATTCAGGTACAGTTCCTTGATTCAGGTACAGTTCCTTGATTCAGGGACAGTTCCTTGATTCAGGTACAGTTCCTTGATTCAGGTACAGTTCCTTGATTCAGGTACAGTTCCTTGATTCAGGTACAGTTCCTTGATTCAGGTACAGTTCCTTGATTCAGGTACAGTTCCTTGATTCAGGTACAGTTCCTTGATTCAGGTACAGTTCCTTGATTCAGGTACAGTTCCTTGATTCAGGTACAGTTCCTTGATTCAGGTACAGTTCCTTGATTCAGGTACAGTTCCTTGATTCAGGTACAGTTCCTTGATTCAGGTAGAGTTCCTTGATCAGGTACAGTTCCTTTGATTCAGGTAGGGACAGTTCCTTGATTCAGGTACAGTTCCTTGATTCAGGTACAGTTCCTTGATTCAGGTACAGTTCCTTGATTCAGGTACAGTTCCTTGATTCAGGTACAGTTCTTGATTCAGGTACAGTTCCTTGATTCAGGTACAGTTCCTTGATTCAGGTACAGTTCCTTGATTCAGGTACAGTTCCTTGATTCAGGTACAGTTCCTTGATTCAGGGACAGTTCCTTGATTCAGGTACAGTTCCTTGATTCAGGTACAGTTCCTTGATTCAGTACAGTTCCTTGATTCAGGTACAGTTCCTTGATTCAGGTACAGTTTTGATTATCAGTTCCTTTTTTTTTGATTTCAGGTACAGTTCCTTGATTCAGGTACAGTTCCTTGATTCAGGTACAGTTCCTTGATTCAGGTACAGTTCCTTGATTCAGGTACAGTTCCTTGATTCAAGGTACGTTCCTTGATTCAGGTATTCTTTTAGTACAGTTCCTTGATTCAGGTACAGTTCCTTGATTCAGGTACAGTTCCTTGATTCAGGTACAGTTCCTTGATTCAGGTACAGTTCCTTGATTCAGGTTGACGGAGTTCCTTGATTCAGGTACAGTTCCTTGGGATTCAGGTACAGTTCCTTGATTCAGGTAGAGTTCCTTGATTCAGGTACAGTTCCTTGATTCAGGGACAGTTCCTTGATTCAGGTACAGTTCCTTGATTCAGGTACAGTTCCTTGATTCAGGTACAGTTCCTTGATTCAGGTACAGTTCCTTGATTCAGGTAAGTTCCTTGATTCAGTACAGTTCCTTGATTCAGGTACAGTTCCTTGATTCAGGTACAGTTCCTTGATTCAGTACCAGTTTCCTTGATTCAGGTACAGTTCCTTGATTCAGGTACAGTTCCTTGATTCAGGTACAGTTCCTTGATTCAGGTACAGTTCCTTGATTCAGGGAAGTTCCTTGATTCAGGTACAGTTCCTTGATTCAGGGTACAGTTCCTTGATTCAGGTACAGTTCCTTGATTCAGGTACAGTTCCTTGATTCAGGTACAGTTCCTTGATTCAGGTACAGTTCCTTGATTCAGGTACAGTTCCTTGTTCAGGTACAGTTCCTTGATTCAGGACAGTTCCTTGATTCAGGTACAGTTCCTTGATTCAGGTACAGTTCCTTGATTCAGGTACAGTTCCTTGATTCAGGTACAGTTCCTTGATTCAGGTACAGTTCCTTGATTCAGGTACAGTTCCTTGATTCAGGTACAGTTCCTTGATTCAGGTACAGTTCCTTGATTCAGGTACAGTTCCTTGATTCAGGTACAGTTCCTTGATTCAGGTACAGTTCCTTGATTCAGGTACAGTTCCTTGATTCAGGTACAGTTCCTTGATTCAGGTACAGTTCCTTGATTCAGGTACAGTTCCTTGATTCAGGTACAGTTCCTTGATTCAGGTACAGTTCCTTGATTCAGGTACAGTTCCTTGATTCAGGTAGAGTTCCTTGATTCAGGTACAGTTCCTTGATTCAGGTACAGTTCCTTGATTCAGGTACAGTTCCTTGATTCAGGACAGTTCCTTGATTCAGGTACAGTTCCTTGATTCAGGTACAGTTCCTTGATTCAGGACAGTTCCTTGATTCAGGTACAGTTCCTTGATTCAGGTACAGTTCCTTGATTCAGGTACAGTTCCTTGATTCAGGTAGAGTTCCTTGATTCAGGTACAGTTCCTTGATTCAGGTACAGTTCCTTGATTCAGGTACAGTTCCTTGATTCAGGTACAGTTCCTTGATTCAGGTACAGTTCCTTGATTCAGGTACAGTTCCTTGATTCAGGTACAGTTCCTTGATTCAGGTACAGTTCCTTGATTCAGGTACAGTTCCTTGATTCAGGTACAGTTCCTTGATTCAGGTACAGTTCCTTGGTTCAGGTACAGTTCCTTGATTCAGGTACAGTTCCTTGATTCAGGTACAGTTCCTTGATTCAGGTACAGTTCCTTGATTCAGGTACAGTTCCTTGATTCAGGTACAGTTCCTTGATTCAGGTACAGTTCCTTGATTCAGGTACAGTTCCTTGATTCAGGTACAGTTCCTTGATTCAGGTACAGTTCCTTGATTCAGGTACAGTTCCTTGATTCAGGTACAGTTCCTTGATTCAGGTACAGTTCCTTGATTCAGGTACAGTTCCTTGATTCAGGTACAGTTCCTTGATTCAGGTACAGTTCCTTGGTTCAGGTACAGTTCCTTGATTCAGGTACAGTTCCTTGATTCAGGTACAGTTCCTTGATTCAGGTACAGTTCCTTGATTCAGGTACAGTTCCTTGATTCAGGTACAGTTCCTTGATTCAGGTACAGTTCCTTGATTCAGGTACAGTTCCTTGATTCAGGTACAGTTCCTTGATTCAGGTACAGTTCCTTGATTCAGGTACAGTTCCTTGATTCAGGTACAGTTCCTTGATTCAGGTACAGTTCCTTGTTCAGGTACAGTTCCTTGATTCAGGTACAGTTCCTTGATTCAGGTACAGTTCCTTGTTCAGGTACAGTTCCTTGTTCAGGTACAGTTCCTTGATTCAGGTACAGTTCCTTGATTCAGGTACAGTTCCTTGATTCAGGTACAGTTCCTTGATTCAGGTACAGTTCCTTGATTCAGGTACAGTTCCTTGATTCAGGTACAGTTCCTTGATTCAGGTACAGTTCCTTGATTCAGGTACAGTTCCTTGATTCAGGTACAGTTCCTTGATTCAGGTACAGTTCCTTGTTCAGGTAGTTCCTTGATTCAGGTACAGTTCCTTGGTTCAGGTACAGTTCCTTGATTCAGGTACAGTTCCTTGATTCAGGTACAGTTCCTTGATTCAGGTACAGTTCCTTGATTCAGGTACAGTTCCTTGTTCAGGACAGTTCCTTGATTCAGGTACAGTTCCTTGATTCAGGTACAGTTCCTTGATTCAGGTACAGTTCCTTGATTCAGGTACAGTTCCTTGATTCAGGTACAGTTCCTTGATTCAGGTACAGTTCCTTGATTCAGGTACAGTTCCTTGATTCAGGTACAGTTCCTTGATTCAGGTACAGTTCCTTGATTCAGGTACAGTTCCTTGATTCAGGTACAGTTCCTTGATTCAGGTACAGTTCCTTGATTCAGGTACAGTTCCTTGATTCAGGTACAGTTCCTTGATTCAGGACAGTTCCTTGATTCAGGTACAGTTCCTTGATTCAGGTACAGTTCCTTGATTCAGGTACAGTTCCTTGATTCAGGTACAGTTCCTTGATTCAGGTACAGTTCCTTGATTCAGGACAGTTCCTTGATTCAGGTACAGTTCCTTGATTCAGGTACAGTTCCTTGATTCAGGTACAGTTCCTTGATTCAGGTACAGTTCCTTGATTCAGGTACAGTTCCTTGATTCAGGTACAGTTCCTTGATTCAGGTACAGTTCCTTGATTCAGGTACAGTTCCTTGATTCAGGTACAGTTCCTTGATTCAGGTACAGTTCCTTGATTCAGGTACAGTTCCTTGATTCAGGTACAGTTCCTTGATTCAGGTACAGTTCCTTGATTCAGGTACAGTTCCTTGATTCAGGTACAGTTCCTTGATTCAGGTACAGTTCCTTGATTCAGGTACAGTTCCTTGATTCAGGTACAGTTCCTTGATTCAGGACAGTTCCTTGATTCAGGTACAGTTCCTTGATTCAGGTACAGTTCCTTGATTCAGGTACAGTTCCTTGATTCAGGTACAGTTCCTTGATTCAGGTACAGTTCCTTGATTCAGGTACAGTTCCTTGATTCAGGTACAGTTCCTTGATTCAGGTACAGTTCCTTGATTCAGGTACAGTTCCTTGATTCAGGTAGAGTTCCTTGATTCAGGTACAGTTCCTTGATTCAGGTAGAGTTCCTTGATTCAGGTACAGTTCCTTGATTCAGGTACAGTTCCTTGATTCAGGTACAGTTCCTTGATTCAGGTACAGTTCCTTGATTCAGGTACAGTTCCTTGATTCAGGTACAGTTCCTTGATTCAGGTACAGTTCCTTGATTCAGGTACAGTTCCTTGATTCAGGTACAGTTCCTTGATTCAGGTACAGTTCCTTGATTCAGGTACAGTTCCTTGATTCAGGTACAGTTCCTTGTTCAGGTACAGTTCCTTGATTCAGGTACAGTTCCTTGATTCAGGTACAGTTCCTTGATTCAGGTACAGTTCCTTGTTCAGGTACAGTTCCTTGATTCAGGTACAGTTCCTTGATTCAGGTACAGTTCCTTGATTCAGGTACAGTTCCTTGATTCAGGTACAGTTCCTTGATTCAGGTACAGTTCCTTGATTCAGGTACAGTTCCTTGATTCAGGTACAGTTCCTTGATTCAGGTACAGTTCCTTGTTCAGGTACAGTTCCTTGATTCAGGTACAGTTC